TTTTCTTTAGTTATGCATCAGCTTTGCATCCAAGAACCTTTCAGTGTGACAAATTGGGTTTCCTCCCACACCATAACTCAACCTGGGGCTTTGTGTACATTTTTTTATTGCTAAATGATTTTGCAGATAAGTTTCTCTGTTAAAGTAGTTCTCTCCAGAAATCATTTAGAAACCTTGCATCAAGAAGACGACGTCCTTCTCATGCTTAATAGCTTTGCTTCTCCCTGCTACCACGTTTTGTTTAACGCAAAGATTTATTCTCCCCCCCCCCATGTTTTCTGTCTGTTATTCAAATAATGTTCAAATTCCTGATTCGTCTTTGTTATGAGACCTTTTCATTTATTCATTGATGCATTTTGGTTGTGACTGAATTTGCTTTCTGTCTAAGCACAATACAGCCTGAATTTCTCCAACACTTCAGTCCTGCTGCTTGAGGGAGAGGGGGCTGGTGTGCTTTGAATCTATGAACATTACAAAATCGTTTTTCTCATTCTGTGTTTTGATTGGCATGGGACCACAAACATCTGAAAAAATAAGCCCCAGCGCCTGGCTGGCATGAATTCAAGCCTGGAAAAAAGTGTTCCTTCTTTCTTTTGCTTTTAAACAAAAATCACGTTTCGTTCTGTTTGTATTTTGCAAGGACAAATATTCAATTGCTAAGTCCTTTTCTCAATAATGGACTCCTCTCTGCGATCAAATCTCATCCCATTTGGTATTGTTGTTGTGATGTTTGCATTGTGCTATAGGTGGTCCTCGTTTACTGACAGCCACAGGCAGCAACTGTTTGCATTTACAATGGTGCTAAAAATAATTTTGCAACCAAATTTATAAATTTCACGGTCTCTCTCTGTGTGTGTATGTGTGTGTGTGTGTGTGTGTGTGTCATCTCTTCAACATTACAGTCGGTCAGTCTGCCTGTCTTGTTCCTGACCCATCTCCCTCCACACATACTTCAGCAGTTTCTCTTGCTTCTCTGCAACAGTTAATGCCAGCATGATGAGATATGATTTTAAGGGTGGTCAATCAATCAGAATAGAGCTGGAAGGGACCTTGGAGGTCTTCTAGTCCAGCCCCCTGCTCAAGCAGGAAATTGTACATCATTCCAACAAGTGGCTGTCCAGTCTCTTCTTAAAAACCTCCAGTGAGGAAACACCCACAACTTCTGAAGGCAAGCTGTTCCACTGGTTGATTGTCCTCACTGTTAGGAAGTTTCTCCTTAATTCCAGGTTGCTTCTCTCCTTGACCAGTTTCCAACCATTGTTTCTTGTCTTGCCTTCTGGTGCTTTGGTGAATAGTTTGACCCCCTCTTCTTTGTGGCAGCCCCTCAAATACTGGAATACTGCTATCATGTCACCCCTATTTCTTCTTTTAAGTGATTTAAGTGATCATCCACTAGGACTCCAAGGTTCCTCTCGCAGTTACTGTTTTTGAGCCAGGTTTCGCCCAATCTGTACTTGTACCTTTGGTTTTTACTGCCTAAGCGTAAACCCTTGCTTTTCTCCACATTAAATTTCATTTTGTTGGATAGGGCCCATTGTTCAAGTCTGTCAAGATCTTTTTGGATCCTGAGCTTGTCTTCTGGGGTGTTGGCTATTCCTGCCAGCGTAGCATCATCTGCAAATTTGATGAGTTCTTCTTCTATTCCCTCATCTAAGTCATTTATGAAGATATTGAAGAGTACTGGGCCTAAGATGGAGCCTTATGGTACCCCACTGCTTACTTCCCTCCGTGTAGTTCAATTAAGGATGACATGTTGAGTATGGTTGTCAGCCAGTTACAAATCCATCTGGTGGTTATGCTGTCTATCCCACATTTTTCTAGTTTACCAAGAAGTAGGTTGTGGTCTACTTTGTCGAATGTCTAAGTATACTATGTCTACAGCATTTCACTGATCTACTAGTTTAGTCACTTTATCAAAGAAGGAAATAAGATTGGTTTGGCATGATCTGTTTTTAATAAAGCCATGCTGGCTTTTAGTTCTAACTTTATTAGTTTCTAGATGTTCACAGATCTGTTTTTGGTTTTTTTTGTATTTTTTCCAGTATCTTCCCAGGTATTGATGTTAGGCTGATTGGTCTGTAATTTCCTGGGTCTGGGTTTTGTTTTTTCTTCCTTTTTTGAAGATGGGAACTACATCAGCTCTTATCCAATCCTCAGCTAATTCCCTGATATTCCAGGATTTTTTAAAGATGTGGTACAATGGTTCTGAGATTACTATATTACATATTATTTATATCACATATAATGCATACCTACATACCACATTGTATATTAATTAGCTTATTATTACACATTTTAGAATAAATTGCTCTCATGCCTCCGTTTCACTTATTATCAGCTGCTTAGGAAAGTGTGCAAACACTAGAAAAATAGGATGAAACTTTTTAACTGAATGAATCAGTTGTGTGAGTCTTTGGGAAGCAACTGATCCTTAGAAAAGAGAAGTGATGACGAATTTGTACACTGCTGATATCCACATCCTCCTGCTATCGTACAGGATTATTTGCAAAAGTTCCTGAGACACAAATATTTTTTCCTTTGTTCTCTCAGTAAAAAATTGGCGGCAGCTTTTCAGCCATTGGCAACAAAATTTAGAATGCATAAACTTGGATGCAGCCTAATAACCACCGTGCTCCCTTTAAAAGGCAATTGAAAGTCCAAAGAACGAAGAGAGAGAGGGTTCTTATTGCAATAAATAGCATTCTTCAATCTGAATAATGTATTCTAGGAGCCAAGATAAATTTGGGAACATTTGGTTTAGTTCTGGAAAGACAAAAGGAGTCAATATGATTTTGACAGGAAGAGATAAACAACATCATGCACTGCATTTTAATATTCAAGATACTCGAGAAATTATTACCAACCAAACAGAAAAGGGGGAAAAAGTAAAATGTTTTCATACAAATCATCTGGAGCTTAAAAGATATCTCTGTAATAAATATGCTAAAACTGTGAAAATGGGTACATTTTATAATTCACAACAATAAATTCTTCAGAACATGCAGTTCCACTGTCTCCAATTAAAACTGAACTCTGTGTACACTTGACACCAACAAAGATGGGAAGGAGTTCAAGAAAAAATATCTTTTATCAACACTTCCAATATAATTTTAAAAGACAAGGCTGGGGGGGGGAGTCCCCAGGCTGATGAAAACTAAAAAGCTTTGTATCCCAATACATTGTCAGTTGATTATTTCCTGCGTCCAGACACCCCGGAAGACAAATTCATTCCAAAATGGGCTGGGCTGCAAAGTAAAAACTTCTTTAGATTGCTGTTTTTTCACATGTGGATTTGATTTTAATTTAAGACATTTTTATAGGGAACAGGAGTAGTCCATGTTCTGGGAAAACTAGAAAAGATTCCAGTGTCTTCAAATATGATAATGGTTACTCATTTAGAGAGTTCTAAAAGGAGACTCAATAAATTCATTGAAGATGGATTGTTGATCACAGTTAGGTACAATGGCTGTTAATGCTTATCTATCTATCTATCTATCTATCTATCTATCTATCTATCTATCTATCTATCTATCTATCTATCTATCTATCTATCTATCTATCTATCTATCATCTATTGTCTAGCTAGCTAGCTCTGCCTGCTCTTCCCCTACACCTTAATGCATTAAAAAAAACAAAACTAAGTGCAAATCCACCAGCTTCATCCTCTTCTCCTTTTGATGGAAAGAGGAATCCTAATCCTTTATCCTGTTATGGATTTCTCTTTGGTTGGAACCCTCAAATCTACCCACAGTTGAAAGAGTTCCTCCATATCTCTAACCAGAGTAAATGGGGCTGTGCTGAAGGATATCTTAAGCGACATATAATCAGTACTAACCAGACACTATCACAGCAGCCAAGGTGTTGGATTAGGAGCAGGGCGATTCTGTTCAAGTTCATCTTCAGCCATGGACATTGAGTTGGGGCACGTCATCATTTCTCAGCCTAACTCACCTCTTAAGATGATTGCCACGGAAAGAGGTTGGAGAGGGCGTGGAAGAAGTCCTGGAGAAGATGGGAAATAAAGATAACAAAAGCAAAGATTATTCCTTGTGGATCCCTTGAGACATCCAGCCCTGATTCCTAATCTAATGGCCAAGGCCTTCTGAGAACCCTTCCCTCTCTAGGAAGATCCTGGCTGATTAGACACCAGGACTTTCCATACTTTGCACCTATGTCCCACCACAGGACTCCATTTTTTTCTAGGCTACCTGGGTTCAGTTCAGCTTTGGACAATCACACTTACTTTCTGTATTTAATACAGATTATATTACACAATAAATTGGACATTCTCCATTCATTCATCTCCATTCAGCACTGCTGTCAGCTTTCCTTGAGTAAAGCCATTAATATAGGTTGCCTTGAAATATTACATGTATTACTGGTGCTCTTTCTTTGGCCCCTAGTAAAATATTACTATTATCTTTGTGTCTTAACCAATTAACAAATGATGGCTTCACTATAATCACCTCTTGATTATAGTTAGAGAAGAAAATACGTGTTCGCTGTACCTCCATGACTTCTGCCATTCTCAAACAGATGCTGCCGGATTGTTTTGAATCTACTTCCAATTTCTGCTAAGGAGAGAAACCCTGATAGATCTGCTTAGCCAGAAATAAATCAGGGTTAGCTGACCCAACCGTGGCTATCTGTTGCTGGGAACTGCACGGTCACGACCAAGGCTGCTACCAGGAAAACCCCAAATCACGATCTTCTGTTTCAAGAGGCTGGCTGGGCGTTGGTTCCATCCCTGGATGCCCTTTTAGGCACCGGGGGATCCTTCACTCCGTCCGTCCAGTGTCACAATCTGCTTCTGCAGCCTAATTGCTGACCGTCATGGCCAAAACGGTTTCAGGTCACATCAGGGAATAGTTTTAGTAGCAGATGTAAAGATTCTTCCCTCGGAGTGATATCACGCAAGGTCAGTCAGCAAATCCTGCACTAAAAATAGATGCCAGTTTCAAAGTTGGTAAGATTCCCTTTGTCGTCCCTTCACACTCTGAAGATCCACGTTGTCCACCAGTCCTGGAGCAGCTTGCAGGTAAGCCAAGACACCTCTCCTAGCAACGAGGCAGGGGGACTTTTTAAAACGATTTTAATGCAAGCTCCAGAGAGAGATTGGATAATCCTTTGCAGGGAATAAAATGAGGTCATCTGACACTCCAAAATATGAACCCCGTTTCATCCTATCGTCCGCACTTTTGCAAAGTTCAGAGTCAACGTATTGCTGAGCAGGCCTTAAGCCGGTTTGGCGTGTGTGTGCGCGCATGTGTGTGTGTGTGTGTGTGTGTGTGTCTGTGTGATCTCTAGCTATCATTTTTCTGTTTCTTCTCCCTCCATCCTTGTTTTCTTTCTTTAAGCACTATTTCACCTTTAACTAACTTCTTCTATAAAAGGGTTGTGCGTATCAGCCCCTCTGGCAAATCGTAAGGGGGTCAGCCTAGCCATCCCCACCGAGCCACTTTTCATATTAGCTCCTTGTGCTGACAGCCAAGCGCAGATGCAACTCAATCCCTCCCGAAGAAATAAATGTGTCCTGAAAAACAGAATAGCGGGCAGAAAGATGCTGCGAATCAAAAGGATTCGGCTGCCCCATCTGAGAGAAGGAAGGTCTGGCCTGGGTTGGTTCGAAAACAGTTTTATCTTCCCAGGACACAAACTTTTCTAGCACCCGAGACCAGAGAAGCATTTTTAAGAAATAGAAAGGTTTACATTTATAATGTTCTCCAATAAATCAGGCAAGAATCGAGCCAGGCAGGCACAGTTTTTAGTTATCCCTTTCAAGTCCTCCTCTTCCTCCCCTTTCTAATTTCTGCACGGATGTCCTGATTTTCATGAGAGATTTATGCGAGGGCCACCCCAGTCCCTGAAATAATTTGTACCAAGCTTTTCCATGTGTTGCATCATTTGATCAGAGGCACTTTCCCCCCCCCAGTCCAAACGCCAGCCAAATTCTTTTTCCCCCAGTTCCTCATAAAGACCAGGTCAGGAGAAACCCACCACGTTTCCTCAGAGCGGTCATTGGGATCTGCAAAATATCCGTTTGAAATCTCTCCAGCCTTTTGAAAGGATGGCAGCTTGGCAACACGTTTTGCTTTTCACATGTGGGCTCCAGAGCCGACTTGATAGGCACGCCTGGAGTTTTAAAAGCAAGGCGAACATTTTGGACATTCCCTTCTCTCTAATTGAAGGCTCACAAGCAGATTTTTGGAACTGACGGAAAGTTACCATCCTCCCCTTCATAGGGCATGGACGGCTTGACTAGCCGAATTATTTAGCCCTTCTTTCCTTTCTTTTATGACATGCGGTCCCAGGTTCCAAAATGTAATGTAAAATATGGGGGGAAAAACAAACAAACTTGAAGGAATTAATAATGAAAGAAACTGGACAATGTTTTCAGTGGTTGCCCAGGTTAGGTTTTGCAACAGAAAGACCATTAAAATGTCTGACAAATTTGATTATGAATGCCAAAATGCTTTGGGGTATACAATTCGCAGTTTAATAATCCCACAGTAGAACACAATACTGCACTTTTCCCTTTAGGTAAAAATGCCTTCTGGTTTTGATTTTTGGGAGAGGAGAAGACTCATCTTGTCCCTGTAGCTTCCCTCTCCTGCTCTTTCTTTTTTTGTCTTGCATTGGTGAAGAAGCAGTGAGGAGCCCGTGAAGTTGGTTCTTTCCAAAATTATCTCATCCAGAGGAACATCTCCCGAAGTCCTAAGCCAGGGGTCTTCAAACTCGGCTCTTTTATGACTCATGGACTTCAACTCCCAGAATTCCTCAGCCAGCCACGCCAGCGTGCCTGGCTGAGGAATTCTGGGAGCTGAAGTCCATGAGTCATAAAAGGGCCGAGTTTGAAGACCCCTGTCCTAAACCAATGTTTCTCAACCTTGGCAGCTTTAAGATGGGTGGACTGCAGATCACAGAATCTCTCAACCAGCATGGATGGCTGGGGGGATTCTGGGAGTTGAAGTCCACCCATCTTTAGTCATTAGTCTGGCTTTTGTAACGGTCACTATTCTTTGATGTGGAGAAGCAAGAGAGTTCTCCTAGGCCGCGGAGAAGGCTAATCTGGGCAGAGAGAATTATCCGAGAAGAAAATGGGTAACAGAGCAGATATTCCGATGATGCCCTGGGATGAAAAGGGATCATCTCTAGAGCTTTAGCTGTCCCTGCAAGCCTGATCAACCATCAAAAGTTCAAGACTTCTGTCCAAAGCAAAGAAAACTCAACCGATGTTGCTGTCCTCCTCTTCCTGCCATCAAAGGAAAGTGGAGAATGGGTAGATGACCAGAGCCATGTTTTCTACGAGATACGAGGCTTGCTCGTGTTTTTCCTCCCGTGTCAAAGACATGACGGAAGTGGACAGTTCCTTTCCAACACTCCCATCCCCAATTTATTTCCTTCAATCCAGCCACAGGAAAGGATCGGGAGAGCCAAGATGGCGGTCACATCCAGGTGATCAAAAGCTCCGCCCCTTTATTCCATGCAAGGGGCGGAGCTTTGATCCTATTGTCGTGGACACCATTTTGATCTCCACAGACGCCTTGACTGCCATGGGAAAGAAGTTGCGTCAGTGCTAGTTATACTTTCATTCCTGGTACAAAGACTAATTTAGGGAGGAGAGGAACGCTGAAGGGAACAGCTCATCCTCCGTTAGTACAACAAATAATAGCTGACGTGTTTGTTGCAATTAAGGTAACGATAGATTGTAATTGCTTATTATGTTCTGGGCATGAAACATCGCACTGTGCAAAGCTATTGGGGGGCTGCTGAATCATCTCCAGCTTCCAGCCTTCCTTGTCTCTTTCACAGAGAGGTTGTCATCAGCAGATCTGCCCATAATGGCTTTAAGCAATAATTAAAGAGGGGAGGGGGGTCCTCTCATTTCTCCTTAAAAATGCATTACATTTTTTAAACAAGGAAGGGAATGCTCATGAAAATCCCAACAGATTTCACGGCGAGATTGGGACGGAAATCAATCAGTCGGAATAGCAAGATAGCAAATAGAGCTTTAATCCCCAAAAGTTAGGAGAACTTACCCAAAGGTGCATGTTTGAGGATGTGTTGATTCTTTGTGAAACACGGGCTTTCTTTGTCATGAGTTGCCCTTCTCTGCTTCATCTGGTGGCTTAGCTGCTGGGCTAGAAACCAAGAGATGGTGAGTTTAGCCCTATCTTAGGGGCATAGGAGACGGCCAGCTAGAGGTAGTGAGTTCTAGTCCCACCTTAGGCATGAAAGCCGGCTGGGTGCTTTTGGACCAATCACCAGGAGACTGTGAGTTCTAGTCCCGCCTTAGGCACAAAGGGCTACATGAATGCCTTTGGGCCATTCTCTCTCTCTCTCTCTCTCTCTCTCTCTCTCTCTCTCTCTCTCTCTCTCTCTCTCTCTCTCTCNCACTTTGAGTTATTTATAAAAAATAACTAAGGCAGGTAAAAAAAAATCTAAAAAAACTATTGTCGTGGGGAAAATAGGAGGTGAGAACATTAGGCACGCGTGTCCCCCCCCCTAGATCACCCCAAATAAAGGCAGGGAATACGGAAGCTTGCAAAATAAAATAAAATAAAATAAAATAAAATAAAATATAAAATAAAATAAAATAAAATAAATAAAATAAAATAAAAAAAAATAAAATAAAATAAAATAAAATAAAATAAAATAATAAAATAATAAAATAAAATAAAATAAAATAAAATATAAAATAAAATAATAAAATAAAATAAAATAAAATAATAAAATAAAATAAAATAAAATAAAATAATAAAATAAAATAAAATAAAATAATAAATAGTTTGAGAACCTTATTCTATGCAATATCTCTTGCAGTGAAAAAGAATTAATTTTCAGTCCCTGCTTTTCTTTAATATTTTACGATACTTCATCCTTCAGCAGATGTCTCTTGTTAGTTTCCTGGTTCTAATATATTTAAGTGTAAACACTGGTTTTGATTTTCAATGGTCTCCTAGTCTGTCATTTAATTTATGACTCTGCAATTTAACTATACTGAGTTGGGTTTTCTTTACACCGGAATGCGGTCTAAAAGACAGTAATAGCTTGAAATGAATAGGTTTCCTGATTGAATTTGATCCTCTGGGCTCCGACTTTCAGCTTTTAAGCTGATCTTCCTATTTTGAAAAAAACAAACCCAGGCCTTGCCAGAAAAGAAATAGGACCGTATTGAAGTTGCTGAAAAATTTCCATCCATTTACAACTTGGATCAAAATCATTGTCCTCTTGTTGAATGGTAAGAATATGTTGCACTAAAATGTAATTATTTATTCTAACAAGACGTTTAAACTTTTGGCCATCCTGTTAATTTAGGTTGAATTATCCAGTTGAGGATAGCTGGAGTAACAAAACCATTCGTTCATTTTTCTTTTCTCTTTTGTCTGGCTCTTTAATTTTAGGACCTGTTAAGTGTTTGAAGGAAAATGTATTTTTCCCAGATCAGAGTTTGGATTTGGCTCACTATAAAGATTCTATGATTACACTGCTTTTTTAAAAAATAAATGTTTGCACTTCATGCTCCTTGGCATATGTAGCAGTGATACTTTAATACAACCCACGCTGCCATTTCATCAGATTTTAAATCTAGACATAAATATCTTTAGCCATTCATGTATAAACCTAGCAGGGATGTATTATTATCTATAAATTACTCTCGTGCATTACACTATATCCTTTTAAAAAGGTTTTCAAAGTGTGTCATTTGTGTTCTTTCACTGTTGGGTGTTTCTTCTCTGCCATTTAATTCTTCCTCTTTTTATTAATGTCTATCCTTCCCAAACATTTACAGGGAGGAGCATCTTTTAAAAATCAACTTTATCCTACTTTTTGCAATTTCCCATATTTTATTGGAGGATAGATTATTTATCGCTGCTCAGGTGTTTTTATTCTTTTTCTAGAGTTCATCTGTAAAACTTTCCCATCCCCCTTGGAAAGAACAGAAGTATAAAAATGAAATAACACTAGTAAATAGCTATAATAATTGTTATTTATGGTCTGGATTTATTCCTCCTTTCTGCCAAGGTGCGCCTAACGATTAGTAACTAACAGCAGTTTGCAAGGTTGTAAATCATCCTCCCTCTTCTATTAAGTCAGATTGAACAGGATAGCATAATAGGGTATAACTTCTGTTAAGATCATCACTGTTTATCTAAAATTTGTTATTGCTATTACAATTATTATTATTGCAAGCCTCAACTTACAAATTTGTTTAGTGACTGTTCAAAATTACAACGGCATTGAAAAGTGTGACTTGTGACTGTTTTTCACACTTACGACCGTTGCAGCCTCCCCCGTGGCCCTGTGATCAGACATAAACCAAGGGTTTTTGTGTGTGTCTGTCTCTGTGTGTATAGTGCTCTCTCTCTTTTTTTTTAAATACGGTTTCATCCTTACAGCCACCATAGCATTTGACTCCTTTCTGTCTCCCCGCACGGCTGGGTCTAACTGGCAAAGGGGGGCAGTTTCTGGACTGCAGGCCGTCCCTGCAGAGCGGCCCTTGACCGGCCCCCTTGAAAGGAGCAGAAGCACCCCGGGAAGCAGCTCTGCTCCCTCCCTCCCCTAAAACCCCGCCTGTCTCAAGGGCTCTCCTCAAGATCCCCACGTCTGCCATCGGGCTTTGAACGGATGGCTTTTGAGTCCGGCTGTTAAAAGCATCCGGAGAGCCTCGGAGCCCTGGACTTTGCCCGGGAAACCCTGTCCGTTCCTGCCTGAGAGTTGGGGAGAGTCAGCCAAACTTCTGGTCCAGAGAAATTTAGGAGGCGGTTTCTCCTCTTCGTCACCACAGTCTGTCAAGTTTCTCAGAGGTGACTGGCGCGCCCGGGCCACTACATGCCCGACTGTTCTTGCGTGTTGCCTTGCACTGTACATTGTTGAGGGAATTCAGAGCCCCTTTGCCAGTTGAACTGCCTGACGAGGGACATTCTATGGAGCAACTTCCAGGTTGACTCTTCTGGCAGAAGTAAGCAGGCAAGTTTGATCTTGCTAGGCAAGGGGAATCCAGGTGGCCTTTCAAAGATTAGGGTCTGAAATTGAGGGAGCTCCTTCTTTCTTGGCATTAAAACCCATCTTGGCTCAAAGATGAATCTTAAAGGGGATTTCAGCGGGACAGAAGGAGCTGCCATATCAATAAAGAACACCTGCCTATCCCAGGTCCTTGGGAAGAGCTCAGTGGAGGGATAGAAATGTCAAATCCAGTCTAAACATCTGGCTGACTCTGTGCCCAACCGTGGCCATAGTAATACATTAGGAAACAGGTATGGTCCCCAACTCTCAACAACTCTGGCTGGCTCGTAACAAACAAATTACAACCAAATCAATAAAAGGTAAAAGGCAGCTAGCACGATGAAGCAGAGGCCTCTGTCTCCTTCCCCAAAGGCCTGGGTGAAGAGCTCAACTTTTTCCCCATTAAAAGAACTTCTTTTCTCTGGTTGCCAAGCATTTCTTTTCCAACAACTAAGGTAATAGAGGGGCTGACCCATCCAGACGATCGAGGTGCCTGTATATTTCCCACCAATCTCACCTTTGGCTTGTTGCTTGTTCCAGGAGCCGGGCTTTCTACGGGCCAGCTTGGGACCCTCGAGGCCAAATGTCTTCACCTGCTGTGAAATCTGGAAAGATAAGTGCTTACGCAGCGGTTAAAGTTGACCCCGAGAGCGACTATTGTACGCCGGGAGCCTTTGACCTGGAGCGGCTCTTCTGGAAAGGAAGCCCCAAATACACGCATGTCAACGAAGTCTGGCCCGGCCTCCACATAGGAGACGAGTAAGTGGTCCCCAAAAGCCTCTTGGGTGCAGAGGGATTTTCATGCTTGGCACTCCAGGTGGTCCTCGACTTACTTAAAATTTCTTTCGGTAAATGAGACAATTGTTAAAGGAACTTTGCTCCATTTTACGACCTTTCTTGCCACAGCTGTTAAGCGAATTGCTGCAGTTGTTAAATTAGTAACACGGTTGTTAAGTGAATCTGGCTTCCCCATGGGCTTGGCTTGTCAGAAGGTCGCAAAAGGGGATCGCTTGATCCCATGGACACTGCAACTGTCATCAAATGTGAATCAGTTGTCAAGTGTCTGAATTGTGATAAGGCGACCATCGGGATGCTGCAACGGTTTTAAGTGGGAAAAACAGTCCCGACAAACTTTTTTCCCGTGCCGTTGTAACTTCGAACAAATAAGTTGGAGACTATCTGTACATTCAGAGCAGGGATGTTTGCTAGGGAGGGGTGCAAAAACCCAGATGGCAACTGTGCCTGTGGGGATCAAAGCCCTGGCCCCCTCTGAACAGGTCACGTGTAGGAAAAAAAAAGATGGATATCATTGTGGCCGCCATTTTGGTATTTCATCCCCCCTCCCCAAAAAATCCTTTTCTGCTTTGACGCAGGAAAACAGCCCTTGATCGGTACAGCCTTGAGAAAGCCGGCTTCACCCATGTCCTCAACGCAGCCCACGGACGGTGGAATGTGGACACGGGGCCCAGCTACTACGAGGACATGGCCATTCAGTACCACGGAGTGGAGGCAGACGACTTGCCCACCTTCAATCTGAGCCAGTTCTTCTACCCTGCGGCCGAGTTCATCCACCAAGCCCTCCAGGATGAGACCAGTAAGCCCACGTATGGTTGCAAGCGACCGATGCGCACGTTCACTCTGCACTGGTAGTTTCTTACACCTTGGGTTGAGGAGTCCTTAGGGGGGAAATGATTCGCACCAGATTCTTGGAAAGCTACAACCGCACAGCCTCTCCCCATCTGGGGCTCAGTTTAAAAGATCAATTCAGATATAAATCAGGATACGAATATTCAGAGAGTCCTTATGCCCCAAAGCTCTTTAAAATCCTGAGAGCTAAAGACCAAGGCTTTCCGTTAAACAGGTAGCAACACTCTCTCACATAAAAACCTCTAGAAAACAGTAATTTTTTTAAAAAAACTGCCCGCTGTAGACATCTTCTGGGTGAAGAATCTATAACAGGCACAAGAATCTTGCGTGGGGTTGTACCCCTCATTTTCAGCTACGTTCCACCTTCCAAGCATAGAGTAGGACCCGGGGTTTCTGGAGGGGGTCCTACTTGCATCTTTGTATGTGAAGCTTCAGTATTACTATCAGGAGGATAAGCCACACGTGGCCCTGTTTATTCCTTCTTAAAAATAAAGTCCCCTTGACTCCTAGGTGACTTTTAGGTGATGGTCAATAAAATATTTGCCATTGTTCTATTTGATTTTTATGATTAGAAAATTTACTTAAAAGACAATTATCATTGTCTTTTAAATTTAACAGTACAAGACAAAATTGAAGCGTATTCCTAATTTGTCACAAAACAGACCTTCAGTGCTAAGATTTGGAGGGTATTTTTTCTATTCTGTTTAAAAGAACAGCATGTGATCTCTCTCTCTCGATCTCTCTCTCTCTCACACACACACACACTTTCTCTCTCTCCCTAAGCATGAGCTATATCTAGACCAGGGTTAGGCAACCTCAGCTCTTTTATGACTCATGGACTTCAACTCCCAGAATTCCTGAGTTTCTGGGAGTTGAAGTCCATGAGGCATAAAAGAGCCGAAGTTGCCTAACCCTGATCTAGACTATCATTTACACCACTGAAACGTGGCTTGACCCCATCCCCACTAGCCTGTTTGTTTCACTGATTGCAAGAGCATTTGTTCTCATGAATCTTAAAGTCCGTGAGGAGCACTGTACTGGATTCTTTAAAAGACGATCACCACCGGATCCTAAGAGATTCAAGATCCTTGCAGCTGCTGAGGCCACCTGTGTCCTGCCCAAGAGCCTGTCAGCACAAAGTCAAAGTCTCTGGTGCTGTATCTCAAGGGTTCCTCTCTCTTTCTCTCTCTCTCTTTCTCTTGATGTTTGCAGACAAGATCCTGGTCCATTGCGCCATGGGGCGCAGCCGCTCGGCAGCCTTGGTCTTAGCCTACCTGATGATTTACCAGCACATGACTGTGGTTGATGCCATCGGCCAGGTGCTCAAGCACAGGTGCATCCTCCCAAACCGTGGGTTCCTGAAACAGCTCCGAGAACTGGACATAAAGCTGGCCTTGGAAAGGAGAAACGGTGCCCGCAGGCTCAGCACGAGCAAAGAGAAGGCCAACCCAGAGATTTAACATTCCCCGTTTCTTTGAAAATAAGTAGTACAAAATAATCAAGGACTGTGAAACAATTAGGTAGAGAGAGTCTCGTTTGTTACCCACCAAGGAAGGAACGAGGCGGGAGCGGATGGGGGGGGATATAGTAGGTAGCCCTTCAAAAATGTCTCAAGTTAGTTTCAGTTCGATTATATGCAGAGAAGGAAGGATGGAGGCAACCTTTCAATAGGGACCTTGGAGAAGATGAGGAAGCCAGCTCTTCCACAGGCAAGGAGAAGGGAAAGCAGCAAGGAAATCTGATGAGGATACTGTATTAAACCAGCTGGGGTACCACAGTGTGCAGAAAGAGAATATATACACTGTGTAGCTCTGGGTCAAACTGTGGAGCCCTGGGGACTTTCTGGCTTTGCAGATGTTTTATTACCCAACTAGGGTGCCCAAAGAAGAGCAACCTGCTCGGAGAGCCAGTAGCATCTAAAACAGATCACCATCATCATCCTCGTTGCTCTTGTCAACGGTCGTCATTGCCATCATCCTCATCTTAAATCACTCCACTGCAGGATGAAATCCTTTGGGTCACTAACTATCCACTGCATCGGAGCAGCATGTCAAAATTATAATCCATAAACGTCAATGAAGAGATCTTCATTTTGTAGTGGACTGATTTAGGATCATTTGTCACTGTCAACACACTTCATTATTTTCTTCTGGAGAATGTTGATTTGTGCTTCACTGGGTTTTCTTTTGTTTTTAAAGAACTACCAGTGAGGCACAAGGCATGCCCTCCAGAAGCAAATTAGCAGGTCCAGCTTAGGTTGTCCACACGTATTTTTGTGGGAGTTTTTTTAGAGAGAGCAGTTAAAACGCTTGCTGGGCTTCTCCTGGGAAGTTCCTGGCATAGATGGTGGTCAAGCACTCACATTTATTCCCACCAAGTTCCTGGGCAGAATTATTTTATATACTTTGTCACCCAGCTCCACATTGGACTCTACTTAACCTTCCCTCAATATCATGTGGAAATATCTTGGATTTGCATATTTTAACATGATATTCAGCGGGCAGTGACTACAAAACTCAGAACCGTTTAATCAGCGGCAGACACTGTTTCTGGGGATATGGGGAAAGATTTCAAATTCTTAAATGCTACAAGCATGACCAGTTTTCAACACTGAACATTTTTTCTTGTTCAGATTTAATTTTAGTTATTTATTTTCAGTAGATCATAATGTCTTCCAGACATCATTTCTGGACATCTAAAGCCACAGCAGATGAACCTAGAAGCGAGGTATTGTGGTATCTGCATGTTGGCGCTTTACCCCAAACTTTGTCGTTGTCCAAAATGACAATATGGAGAGCATTGGAATTAAACAGTGAGCAAATTGTTAATGCAGGCCTTCACAAATATTGACTAAAAAGAAACTAAAAACGCAGCTAAGTATTAATCTATTAGTTTATCATCTGTTTCTTATGGATAATTCTATTTCAGCAATCATTTATTATACTAAGGTTGTGTGAAAATTCCTTAATAGGCTTTTCAGTCCGATTATCCTAACTTGAGTAGATGTCCCCCACAAAACTATGCTAGTCAACCCGAATGTGCCTTTATTGTGACCAATGATCTATGCACAATAAGATATAAAGGCTGTATTTATTTGGAAGCCTTCCCACAAAATTTTCAGTTTAATGAATAACTTCGTGCTGAATCCATGTTTTCAAAATGAAGAACATCAGGCAAGTTTTTATTCTAGTGATCAGATTACTCAGCAGTCTTATATATACATTCACCTACGTCCCACTACCTATAAACTATGTTCACGTATTCCTCCCATCTGCGAGAATCGGGTGGTTTGAGTCCCAGACTGAAAAAGTAATCAATCCTTCACGAAATTGAAAAGCTTGATAGATTCAGCTATGCTTGGTTGCTAGAGGCTGACCAGGGGTCAATCTTCAAGTATTTGAAGGGATGTCAAACAGATATTTATCCCATTTAGCAAGACGTGGAGAAGCAGACCATGGTTAAATATTAGGAAGAGCAGCCCAGCAACAATAGAACAAATTATCATGGTGGTTTATGGGATTTCACGTAAAGGTTGAACAACTATTTGCTTAAAATGCACCCAAAGAGAGACCGATTCACTGATCTAATCCCTCCTTGCAATAAAGGTGTGCATGATGCAAAAACATGAAATATCAAAATACAACGAAATAGGTACCAAGGCCACTGAATACAGTTACCAGGAATTAACCTCAACTCAAGGCATCTTGACCTTTTAAACCTATTCTCCCTTCTTTAAAGAAATCTAACACATTATCCTCTTAGAGTGCTAGAATAGCCATTATTTTATCCGGATTAGGCTGTATTTTTTCACTTTCGCTAACTCAACTGTTCTCAGACATCCTTCATTAACTCTTTACCCTCCCTCTCAACATCTGAGCATTAGACACCTCCACGTCTCTCCTCTTTCTCTCAGCCAAGCTCCCCCAACATTGGAGCCTCGCCCAATCACCCCTAAGGCCATCTTTACCACCCATCGTCCCTTCAGCAGAAGGAAAACCACATGAAAAAGATGTACATTTATAAGATATATATATTGCTAATGGCGTGAGAAAGCGGATGCTGCACCGTCATTTCCGCACCAGGGAAGACCAATCTCGACCGTCTTTGGGGGAGAGATGGGAAATTCAACCCACTCTTTCTCCCCCCCCCACCCCAGCAATTTAGCCTGGAGATGTGAATGTTTTGGGGCATCACGTCATTTGGGTAGGAGGCAGGGAATGAAAAGTTAGGTGGCTTCTCTTTGAGTTGGCCCGCCTTTATCTCGGATTTGGCAAGAGAAAGAGAAAGATAAAGATAGATAAAGATCTCAGCCAAGGTTATCACGCAGCCTCTGGAGAGATGTTGCTGAATTTCCAGGAATTCCAGCCGGGTCTTGTGATCTAGAACAAATGGCGGGAAGCTCCATCGTTTCTTTCCAATTGCATCAGTTATCTCGAGACAGTAGGCTAAAGTGGCTCATAATTTATTTTTATGTTAAAATGTACAGCTTGTTTTTGTTTTATTTAAGTGACTAAAAAGTTGACATAAATACAAGAAGTTTCACCGTGTCTATTTTTTAAAACATGGATCGAGCCATTTTTGGCCCAATACTGTCACTCTGTACAGGTACAAAGACTACCAAAGAAAGGGGGGGTGGGGGGGGAAGGAAGCCGTATAAACAGGTCACAAATACCATTTGTTTTTGTTTTTTACATGCGTTCTTTAAACTTCATTTGTTCTATTCACACGCTACTGCCCTATTTACTTTTCTTAAAAAATAACTCCAATATTTTATAAAGATAGAAAAATCTACAGATGGAATGAAAATGTAAAGTTTAGAGGCATTTCCGTAAAATAGCAACTTTACACCAAATTCACAATTTTTTAAAAAAAATCCTGCAAATTCATCCGCATATGAAAATGTTTCAAAAACTTGATTAAACACAGATATGCTTCTTTGAAACAATAAGTGTTTGTATCTTAAAAAAAAAAAACCCTGTGTAACAGTAAGCTGCCTTTTTTCCCCTTCTTAATTGAAAATGATCTATTATCTGAACTAAAAAAGGAGAATTGTCTTTAATGAAATATTTGCCATTCAAAGGTGCATTCCACCGTGATAGTCTCCTGGATCAGCTCCAAGAAAAATTTATCAGATTTGTGCAACCACACAGAGGAATTTCCCAATGAACTGCACCCGGAAACTGATCAAATCAAAATTGGAATCATTTTCAATGCTTTTTTTCTTTCTTTTAAAATCTAATTAGCAAAAATATATATGTATGTATGCATGTAAGTATATATATATATTTATATATATATATATCAATACCTCTTAAAAAGGGACAACCTAATCAAGGCAAAAGACCCACCAATTAAGGAAATGGCTTACTGTTAAGCACAACACTCGTACAGTACTACAAAACGCACTGTCACTAACAAAGACAGCGGCATGCGAAAAGCGTCCACTGGAGGAATAAAATGACCCATGGATGCAATGCGAAAAGGCATTTACACGGTGGAGACGAGGGGGGGGCGAGGAGGGCTCCTTGAATGGGGGGGGAGGGAGGGAGGGGAGAAGCTGACGGCCAGCACAAGAGCGGATGCCCTCCAGAAGAGCTGGGGGGGGGGGTCAAAGAGGAACAGGCACATCCAAGAATGGCAGTGAACCCTCGGCTGAGTTAGCATGTTCGCAACACAAGTTTTCCCGCACCACAGAAGTTCAATTGTGTTAAAAAAAACAAACCTGCCAATTTCAAACAAAGCAAAACTGCAAAGGAAATAAAAATAAACGGTCGTTATGTAAGGCTTTTTTCTGCATACACGTTTCTCATGGTGCTACAAACCAGGGTGTTTGCATTTACACCAATTGCTGGTTTTGAATCACACGCTCCCAAACAGCCGGCGTTTAGGCAGGCCCCTCCCCTCGCGGGCTGGCTTGGCTGGGGGGGGAGGGGGGAGCACCTCCCCCTGCATTTGGGGACCCGGGCTCCTATCTCCGCATGTAGGAGCTGTTCAGAGATTGCTTGGGGTTTATGTAGCCGTGATGGGCTGGAGGGGAATACATCATGTTGCTGTGGGGGTTGGTCTGCATGGACTGCTGGGCGTAAGTCTGGGAGCCCATCATCCCCATCTGCACCTGCATGGGGTACTGGGCGGTTTGATTCATGTAACCGGGATTGGCGTGGTAGCCTCCGTTCATCATCGGCTGAGACATGCCGTAGCCATTCACGGCGTTCAGCGTGTTCATGTTCATATTCACGGAGTTGACATTGTAAGCCGGAGCTGGCATAAGGTTCACGTTCATGTTCATGCCACGCTGCATGGTTAAGGTGCGGGGCGGCCCTTGTATGGCCACAGACTGCGAGGCGCGCCCGTAAAGTTGTGGCTGATGGGCGGCGGCGGCTGGTGGCGGCGGCAGAGAGGACGACTTAGTTCTAACGGACACGTGGCCCTTGCTGGCCATCTGCGTTTGTAGTCTTTGGGTGTGGGACAAGCCAACATTAGAGGCAGCCAGGTTACGCTGCAGAAGGGGAGGGGGCAGGTTCATGGGAGGCGGGGTGAGGTTGGGGGGCGGGGTCATGGTGGCCTGCACTTGGCCTCCTCCGGGAACCGGGTGGGGGGGCTGAGCGAGCTGGACCAGCCCTGGGCTGCTGAGCGCGGGGGAGAGGGAGGCCCCGTTTGCATAGGAGGCGACGGCAGCCGAATGGCTGTAAGGCAACGAAGGGTCCATCAGGGTGTTGGTCAGCTGCTGCAGCTTAGCCAGGCTGAAGGTGGCGGAGGGCTGCGGGTAATGTCCTGCCCCGAACTCCCCCTGGCCCACCCGCTCGTACAAGCCGACGTTGGCACTGCCGGCCTCGGAGAGGTCACTCAGCTGTAGAGGCGGGCTGAAGTTGGCGGCCAGACTGCACTGGGGGAGCTGCTGGCTGCCACTGGGGGGCCTCTCGACCCCACAGGCCTGGGGGGATTTGACGCTGCAGGGAGGGGGCGAGTGGATGCTGGCATTGGGCATTAGGCTGCAGCTGCTGCTCATGCCCGGCCTCGGCTGTGTCACGGCGCAGCTGCTCTGGGTCAGGCTGCTCGAAGGGAGAGCGTTGTATGGGCAGCTGTTCTGCGGCGCGTTGTTCCCGCAGAGGTTACTGCCCAGGGTGGAGTCGTAGCTGCTCGGGTTCTCGTAGTTCTCCGTCGTGCTCTCAATGCTGCCCAGATCACTAAACCCGCTGTCGACAACCTGCTGGGAGTGGTCCGACACGGACGGGACGTCCATCATGGGGCTGGTTTCCATGTTCTGCAGGGAGGACACCGAGACGCCGCCCTGATCGGAACCCATCTGAGCGAAAGTGTTTTCCACCGCCGGGACGTTTGGGCTGCTGGCAGAACAAACCGACTGGCTGGGCTGGGCTGGGACGGAGGAAACGGGGCTGCTGTGCTCCGGCTGCTGACAGTCCTCCAAGGCAACGGCCTGCGGACTCTGGCCAGGTTTGGCGTAACTCTGCAGGCTCCGGCAGGCCTCCTGGGTCTCCGCACAGTCCTGGAAGACGTCCTCCTGCTCTGCTGATTCCTGGGTTAGAGACTTGACTGCCTGGATGGTCTCAGGGTCTATTTCCAGCGTTTCTGAATCCGTCTCCTTGAATACACCGTTGAGTTCGTTGCTGCTGGTTTCCCCGGAGTGTCCCGTGCTTTCCTCTCTTGGGTCAGGCCCGGGTTCCAGGATAGCAGGAAGCTCTTTAAGATCACTGCTACCCTTGGGCAAAAGGCCAGATTTACAGTCCATCAAGTCCATTTCGTCTGGCCTGCCTCTCAGTTCCTCGGGCTCTAAAAAAGGCTCTCGGCTCTCAAGAACTTCTTCAAAAGCTTCACTTGAGACGACCTCCTCGGTTTCCCTTCCCTTTGGACCCGGGTGGCCCTCGGCCTCATCCTCGTCACCCGGTTCCTCCTCACGATGACACCGCTCCTTCCCCTCAAGTTCTTCTGCAGGCTCCTCTTTCTCCAGGGTCTCCTCCTCTCGTCGGTCCTTCTTCACACCTTCCATTTCCACGTTGCTTTCATCCACCTCATCTGCCTTTTGTGTCCGGGGAAGCTCTGGATACTCAGGCACCGGATCTCTCCCTTCACCCTCGTTTGAGGAAACGGGTTCGGAGTTTTCCCCTTTTTCTGGCAGGGAGGAAGCTGGGCCTGGGCTGCTTCCAGCCGCCTCTTCGGCCTCCTCTGCCTTCCCCTGACGGTCGGGCTCCATCGGGGTCTCAGGTGGCGTGTACAAATTCAGTTTAAACCCTGGTTTTCTCTCTTTGTTTTGCCTCCGCCTGGACGAAGGCTGCTTTACGCTTTTAGGCCAACCCTGCTTATGCATGGCAGGCTCAGGATTGTCTTCCGTGCTTTCTTTAAGGACATCCGCATCCTCTTCGGCCGTAACTGTGAGGAATAGGGAGAAAAAAGCCAAGTTAGTCGAATTCAAAATTATTACAACTAGATTGTATATATTCTTGTTCTAACGTATTCTCATTGTAGTTACATAATTGCTTAAACCAAACAGAAGAAGCACAAAGGCCTGGAAGGTGGGGTAAAACAAATCAAGATGGAGGTTACTAGGGAACAACTGAAACGCCATGTGGACTTTTGACCAGACCATCACCCGCTGCACCTTGACCATTTTTGACCCAGGGACCCCTGAGGTAAAAGAACATTGTTTTCAATTTCCTATGCAGAGAAATAGAATTTCACTGCAATTTCCTTGCATTTTAGCAAGCTGGAGGGACGTGCACTGGAATGGCCGGTCCCTGCCCTGAGGTGTGCATTCCAGGTGTTTTGATCTGAGCGCAGAATGAAACGGGGTCCTTTTGATTCTGCACCCAGGGAGAGGAGGAGAGACAGGCCAAGGACCTGGTGGAAGAGTGCTGGGAAGACTGGGGAAAGCTGGGAACCTCTGCTGGGAAGAAGAGGGGATAACCCACACTATTACTGCCGTTCTCTCTGTGTGTCCAGATTTTGTTTTATCCAAACTCCAGAAGGTCAAAGCATTCCAGATTTCCATTCTGTTGATCCATGACCAAACTGCTTGCAAAGGCAGCAAAGTATTATAAGCTGAGGTGCTGAATAAAACTCCGCCTTGTTTACTAAATATATTGTTCAGAAAAAAAGCATAAGAATATTACTATAGAAAACTTTTAAGATAAACATTTACCTTTATAAGACACCCAAACATTGCAGAATGAGAATTATTTTCCCAGGCTAAAAAGCTATAGAAAAATAACCATTATGATTCCCTAGTTTATCTGCTTTTCTTAATAATGTGTTGCACCTAAATCACACACCAAAGTAATAAGCTAACAGGCTCTACGGGACTGACTGAAAAGGAACCCTGAGTCCTAAAGAATAAGCCTCAAGCAAATTTGAACACAACGTATGAATTAATGTTTTATGACAGTCCAAGACCAGATCATAAAAGCTAAGTAGCCAAATACAACTGGAGGATACTATAAAACCTCATTAATTAAGTAAATCACCTACTACTGTTTGAACACGTCTTTTACTAATACCAAAGGCAGTGCAATTAAACACTGTCTTATCTATTAGATTATGTAACTGTTATGCATCCACCTTTCTAAAAATATAATTACAAAGAATTTCTTCCTCCAGTTGAGAAACTGCCAAGACCAAACATGGTGGGACTGCGTTTGTTTGGATGATAACGTTTGCACAAAAAATAAATAAATAAAAGTGCTTTGATAATGAGAGAGGCACATGTTTGGAGAAACAACCTATCCCTCCTCAAAGTTTGTTTCCCAAAATTCACACTGAACAGAACTGAGCAGAAAACCGCTTTCGAAGTATCTCACCTCTGCATGGACTCTCATTCCGGTTACACCGGTCGTCTTGCTCCTGCTCCTCCTCTTCCTGTTCCTGTTCTTCCTCTTCCCCAGACGGGTGTTGGGACGCGGCTGCACCCCCAGTCTTCCCTCTGTCACGTTCTCCCTCCGTTTCACAGGTCGGCTCCAGCTGCATCAGGGTCTGCTCTTCTTCCGAATAATTAAAAGGTTCCTTTAAAACTTCGGTGGTTTCAGAAATGGTCTCCGTTGTAACGCTACTATTAATCTTTCGGCGTTTACGACCCCTTTTCTTTTTCAATAGGAAAGGTCTCTAAAAATAATGTGAAATATGTTAAAGTTGGGTGGAAGAATTAACATTCCTTGTTGGCAAAATCTGAACTACCTAGGCTGCAAATTCACTCTTCTTTTGAATTTGAAGTAATTGCTTCAAACTAGAGAGAAATGTTTTGCATCTGAAATGGGCCATCTTAATCGTATGGGAAACATTCCCAACTCAAAGCAAGTTACAATTACTATAAGTCAACAAATGTTTTCAACCAAGGAAGAGGCATTCGAAATTTGAGACCGTTGGTTTATATAACCTTTCCAGAAATATAATTTTAAAATGTACAACATGTGCTAAAACTTTAATGACCACTAGATTACAAGAGCCTTTAAAGAGACCAGTAGTGAAAAGTTTGCTCAAATTCCAATTAATATAATAATATTAATATACAATTAATATTCATTTTCTAATATATGTAGCCACCCATTACTAAGTGACTCTGGGTGGTGTGCAATGGTATATAATGTCAATTGTATTAAGAATATATATTAAATTATTTAATATATATTAATTATATAGATAATATATAATAATACCCCCATTCTGCTTCTCCATAAACATCTCTGAATGTGTATTCTTTTGAGAGCAAGCATCAGAATTTCATTTTTTAATGTGTGCCAGTGTGTTCACAGAAAAAAGTGACAATAAAGGCTATCTTATCTTATTTCTATCGCAGAGTTCATTTAATTATAACAAGATGATGGTTTTGAGGATAACGATAAAACTGTTTGTTTTTTTAAATGTAGAAAAAAAAAGGATTACCTCCAACAATTTTCACCTGGTCTCAGACAAAGATTTCAGAACTGTTAATCTGGTCTAATTGATTAGCAATCAAAGCACAACTAAAAATTAAAAAGGAATCATCATGTTTGGCAATAGGAGATAGTAGAATTTAAAAGTATTGAATACATTTATACTTTAATACATCAAGAAAATATTCAAAGAGGGAGAAGAAAAAGGGAAATAATGTCTTTGTAACAAGAATAATCCTGCAATGCAGGAGATCCAATAAAACAGCTTAGCTAGAAACAAACTGGAGACATGACCAGGGGGATGTTTCAATTATTTCAGAGGATGTTGTGGGTTGCTGGAGGAGCAGAGACCCCGTTGGAAACTGAATAAGGAACTGGAGAATTATCCACTACTGTCTATTAATGTCAAGCACAAACCTGTGACAGACACACAGTCTGATGTTTTAGCTAGCCAGCAGGCAATCTGGAAACGAAGTGAGGGGATGATACCTGGGCAAGTCTAACTTAGCGCCGAGGGGAAAAAACGTCATTGCTAGTTTTTAAATTCTCTTTTTGGGTCCCTGCAGAGTAAAAAGCTGCACAATTACTTTTTTTTGCAAAGGAAGGAGACCGTGAAATATGTAAGGCGACTCAACTAACACCCACAATGACTAACAGAGAATATTTTAATTGCAAACGTCTGTAAGAAATTAGTGGTATTTCAAAATACGCCTGTTTGTAAGGTAAAGGCAGAAATCTACCTGCTCCAGCTCCTCAATGCGGTAAGCCCAGCATTGAAAATCAAGAGATTTGGAACCGACCTTTCTCTTCATTGCAAGCAACTGGGGTTTCGCCAGCCTCGGAGGAGAATTCCGATGACGTCCATCCATCTCCTCCTCCTCCTCCCCTTCTTCCTTTTCTTCTTCCTCCTCCTCTTCCTCCTCCTCCTCCATCGCCTCCTCTTCTCCGCTGCTTTCTTCCGGTGAGCCTGTGGGCTTCTCTCTCTCCATCAGTGCGGCCGGATTTTCTTGAGGTCGCAAATACTTGCTTTTCGACTGGGCTTTTTCGGGCAATTGCCTGCTCCCTCTTGCGGAGTGGAGCTCCTGCTCCTCTTTCTCCCAGCAACTTGCTTGCTCCATCAACCGCTCAGCCTGAGCAGCAAAAGGGTTTAAATGAGAGACCACAGAAAGACCAGTGAGCTGCCCCTCGTTCGTGCGCGCATAGCTCCGCATTAGAAATAAGCTATCAGTCAGCTTTCATCAGCATCAAGGGCTACGAAAGCTGCACCTAAACAGGTTCCCCCCCCCCCGAAAGGAAACAAATTGAACTTGCGTTTTATGGAAACTTTTGCATCATTAATAAGGCAGCACTGATTTTGGTTCTTTGTTAGCATTATGCCCTTGGACAGGCAATTTCAGTCATCTCAGAAATGCCTGGAAGCAGCTAATGAAAACTTTTTGAACTCTGCGTCCAGTTCTGTTGAAGGCGGTGCATTTAATAGCATTTGGGAAGCAGTGAAAAGAGAAAGCCAAAATTGTTCCTGTTTGTTCTGCCTTTACCTTGCACCACAAATTCTTAAAAAACGATTTGGCATTCATTAGCAGAAAGTCATTAGCATAAACTACTCTTTATAGCTCATTCATACGCACGGAACTTTATTTTACAGTAGATGTCAGAGGTTCATTTAACCTCATCACCTCCCACATCTCCGTTTAAGTCTCTTTCCCCTTTTTACTTTTAACTAAACGCCTTGCAAACCCTTTGGTCACCTCTGTGCCTGTCTGCTTTTTCCACCTCCTTGCTGTTCCTTCCTTTTCAGAGCTCAGGACTCTCACCTGGATTCGGTGCTCTAGAGATAAACTCCTGAATCTTTCCATTGTCTAGAAAACCTCTGTAGAGTTATCCTTTGTTTCCCAACCTTGGCAAGTTTCACATACGTGGACTTTAACTCCCAGAACTCCCCAGCCAGCCTGAGGAATTCTGGGAGTTGAAGTCCACGTATCTTAAACTTGTCAAAGCTGAGAGAAACTACCTCACTGTTGCTCTCTCTTTCTCTCGACTCTGCCTGCTCGCTTAGACTGGTCCGTGTCTCTTGGAGCTGTTCCTGCTCATAGGTCCTTCTTAAATTATACGACGCTTGCCTGTTTCCCAGCAAGCTCCAGTGTAAAAATATACTTCAATCTTCACCCCCATTTGAAATTAACCTGTAGGGGCGAGAATGGTGCCTCATGATCCACAAGGACAGTAGCTATAAAAATTTGTTAAATAAATTGATAAAGTTAATAAGGGTCCTGGCGGCCAAGCTGTAAGATGAAAAGCCAAGGGAACTAGATCTGTTGAGCCTAACGAAGAGAAGGCTTCGGGGAGACATGACAGCCCCCTTCCAACGCTCGAAAGGCCGTCACAGGGAGGATTTATTCTCCAAAGCCCCTGAGGACAGGACAAGAAGCAAAGGGTGGAAGCATCTCAGAGGGAGACCCAACCTATAAATAAGAAGAAATGTCCTCGCAGTAGAATGATAAATCGGTGGGACAGGTTGCCTCCAAAAATTGTGGGCACTCCATTGCTGGAAATTTTCAAGAAAAGATTGTGTGCAAAATGGTATAAGGGCTGGGGGTTAGACTAGAAGACCTCCAAGTTCCCTTCCAGCCATATAATTCTAAGACTTTAGGAAACGAATGCTCCTCTCCACCCGGGGTTTTTCACCGCTTCTCTCTCACAACAGCCACATTTACAGCCCACGGCTTTTGTCCCTGTCACAATTGCGGCTGTGCTATATACACCAACAGAACTGTAGAAATGAATCAACCTCGTGGAACCTGCTGGGAGAACCGCCCGGGCAGCCTAGCCTAGCTTTTTTTCGTTCTGCCCATCATCTTCACGGATTTACTTGTACTTTTGTTCAGGGGGCAATTATCCCACGATGCGTTTACCTCTTTTTCAGCTTCCCTCTCTTCCTCGGAAACCGCCACGTTCGGAACCAGGAGAGGACTCCACCGCAAACTTTCCGGGTCCACTTCATTGACGCGTGGATGGCCTTTCAGTTTCTCCATGTAACGGGAGATCGATTTCTCTCTTCTAATTACCATAAACCTACAATGGGAACAAATCTGAAGTTAGAAGGGAACCATACAAATGAGGATATGGGAATGCTGTAGGGAGGGTGGGTCTGGAATTACAGTTAATTTTTCTTTTAATACATTTACACCCCTCCTTTATGTAGAGGCCACTCCTGCCAAAGCATTTACCCTATTCTTGCGATCGGACCACCATCCACAGGGAAAAATCTGCCACACACAAGTCCAATTCCTGGGGCAAAGAATTAAAGAGTTTTATCTTTTTGTTCCTATCTAGTGGTAGCCCCCATGTTTGCAATCTAGAAAAAAGCCAGTTGGTTATCCTCAGTCATCCAGGTCATAGCTGTCCCAAAGGTGCTTTTTCAAACGTCCAGCGGTCTGCAAGGAGTATAAATACTTCCATTTCCCCACCATCCAGTCAGAGCTGAAGAAGCTTCTTGGATGAGAAGCGAAACGTCTTCAAAGATGAACACGGAAGTTCAGATGCCTCGTGAAAAAGCATCTTTGGGACCAGTGGGTTACTCTCTATCTGACTTTTTAACAAGCCAAGAGGACCGGGGGATTAGGAGACCATCTAGCAGTGATGGGTGGGGAAGCTGTTAGAACCTGTGAGAGCGGTGTCTGGTGCGCGTAGCTGATGCCACTGAGGGAAGCAAATGGTCATTAGTTGACAAAAGGGATTTGCCCTCAAGTGGACTGCCAGAAGGTCACGGTGGTGAACATGGAACCCTGTGACGTAATCAGGAGTGAGACACCAACTGCTGGGATTGCCATCATGCGACAATGGGTTGCTGCAACTGCCAGAACTCCGGGGAATCTTTGCAAGTAGCGCTTATTTTGCGCTGTTTTGCAACTTTGACCGGTTGCTGAACAAGTGGTCGCTCAGGGAGGACCACGTGCGGAGGAAGAGAGCGAGAGCGAGAGAGAGCGGGGCAGCTCAGGAGCGGCTACTGACTTTTCTTCCCGCTTGTCAATCATGCTGTGGTGCTGGAGGATGGTAATGATGTCGTGGGGACACATCCCGGTGGCTCGGCTCATCGCCTTGATGCTGATCTGCTTCTCGTGGTGGCAGGAAAGGTATCCCCAGATGACACTTTTCCAATAAGCCAGGTACGAGACCCGGCCGAGGTCGGACAGAGGCTTTTCAGGTGACCCGGCCTGTCCCTCTCTTCGAGAAAGCAGGTAACCTAGCAGAAAAGAACAAGGGGAAGAATCACAATGTGCCACTCACAGAAGACTAAGGGAGTTTAGGATACGAAGAGGAGGGAAGGCCAACTTATTCCCCAAAGCACCAGAAGGCCGGACAAGAAACAACGGATGGAAACTGATCAAGGAGAGAAGCAACCTGGAATTAAGGAGAAACTTCCTAACAAGAGAGAGGACAATTAAGCAGAGGAACAGAAGTTGCCTTCAGAAGTTGTGGGTGTTTCATCACTAGAGGTTTATAAGAAGAGATCGGACAGCCCCTTGTCTGAAATGATATAGGATCTCCTGCTTGAGCAGGGGGCTGGACTAGAAGACCTCCAAGGTCCCTTCCAACTCTATTCTATTCTATATGCTACTTTAAACTCCTATCTTACTGAATTTTGGACTTTACTCCAGACTTGCTGACCTTCAGGAAAATGTTAACATCTTGATTTTTCCAGCAGGCAATCTGTGAATTGCTTGAATAGTAGTTATTCGAATTTCGGTATATTCTGTCCAGTGCATTGTTATTTTTATATTTGGTCCTTTGTTGTTTTAAATTTATGGTGTTTAATGATGTTTTTAACTCACTGTATTGTGCCTTGAATCACTTGGATTAGGAAACCTTATAAACAGAATAAACATTTTTAATAGTGACATTATTTTGTTAAGATAATTCAGCATTAAATATAGTCATTGGTATTGCAAAGATTCTCTTTTAATACTCTTGGTTCACCTGCAACTCTCAAAAGCAGTTTCAGGGTGATTGTTTTGATCCTTCCATATGGCAAATCCACTTTGTGCAACACAACAAAGAACTGTCAAGATTTCAACATTTCAATTCAAAAGATCATGTTTTTCTTTTAAAGGCCACATTCATCACACAAATCTAAATACATAATAAAAGTAACAATGAGTTCGTGGCATAAGAAAGCCACCATTTCCCATTCTTTGAAATTCTCAAATTACCCAAATATAATTCCAGATGCAGCCCTACAATTTCAAAACTCATGTACAGAAATAACACCTCTCACGCAGCGGAAGAATCTCCGTCTTCTGTCTCCTCCAAAGATCTTCAGAACATCAATTTAGAGAGCTTAATTGAATGGGCCTATCATTCCCCACAGTTCAAGGGTCTCTCGAGAGCTTATTTCCTTAATTTTCCAATAAATTAGCGCTACTTCTCAGAAAAATGTTAAAACGTTCAGGACGAAATTACACATGATTTGTGAATGCTCCTATGCACCCAAATTCCTAAGACAGTTTCTGAACCTTTAGCAATTTTAGGACATGTGAATTTCAACTCCCAGCCAGCCAAGAGGAAACGTTACTTGAGATACACTGATCAGGTTATAACATTCTGCTTTTCATTCAGGAGCTGAAGGTAGCTCCTTCTTCCAGCGTGGCCTGTGAGGTAGGCTGGGCCGAGGGGGCAGCACTAGTCACAACCTATCTCTGCAAATAAACTCCCTGTGATCCAAGAGTTGTTTCTGGAAAGCTAACTTAACACCAAGATCACCAAGCAAGGTCAGCGGGTAAGACAGATTCATTTAACAGCTGTGTTACCAGCTTAACAACTGCAGTGGTTCACCTCTAGATACTCCCATGTAACACCTCTCCTGCGCGAGCTGCACTGGCTGCCTGTGGCCTTCCGGGTGCGCTTCAAGGTGTTAGTAACAACCTTTAAAGCGCTCCATGGCAATGGACCTAGGTATCTGCAAGACCGCCTCCTACCAAACACCTCCCTTCGACCAGTCCGCTCCCACAGAGAGGGCCTCCTTAGGGTGCCGTCGGCCAGACAATGCCGCTGGCGACCCCCAGGGGGAGAGCCTTCTCTGTGGCAGCTCCTGCCCTCTGGAATGACCTACCCCGCGACCTACGTACAGTTGCGGACCTGCGCCTTTTTCGCCGAGCCCTGAAGGCCCATCTATTCCGTGCGGCCGGCCTGGCGTAGTTTGGATTGTGTTTCAGTGGGGGTTTTGTATGGGGTATTTTAGAGCAGGCCTGTTATTTAATCTGATTTTAGAACAGAAGCTTGTGTATATTTATCGTGGTTTTTATTATCGCCTGTTCACCGCCCTGAGTCCCGTAAGGGAGATAGGGCGGTATATAAATTCAATAAATAATAATAATAATAATAACTTAACAACTTTGGCAAGGAAGGTAGAAAAAAGGGGCGGATTTCACTCAATGAATTTCTGAAATTTTGGGCTGAAAGAACGCCCGTACTTGGCTGTGTATTCTTTGACAATGCCCGCCGAGCAATTCTTTTGTCTTGTTCCTTCTGACTTCTCCCCATATCCCCCCCCCACAGGTTCACTACGCATCCTGGGAGCGCCAACGTGGTTCATATCGTAACAAAAGCCGTTTGCATATCTGGATTAGGCAGGGTCTCATTCCAGCTGGTCACGCTTGCAAAGAGGACCATACGGAGCTGGAAACCTGAGTTTCTAGGGCAACGGATGCAGATCACTAACGGTGGAGGCCAGGCGGCTTTTCTCTGCCTCATTATCCAGCCTAATGATGGGCAATGATCTCCTTCCGGGCTTCTTGGTTTCTCTCTCAGTGAAGCTGGAAGTTCTCAGAATGAAAATCGGAAGTCCAAACCCAGGGCTTCTGTGGCAATGGTCTTGGAAATACAAATATTTTCATTGAGAAGGAAAAAAAAAGAAAGTAAAAATTAAAATGTTAAAAAGCTGACTATTAATTCCAACTGAGCTGGCTCAGACCTTCTTTCCTCCTAAATTCTATCTAGGCAACAAGGAATAGGAGTTCTCTTATTCCACCCTTGTCCCCATCCTCCTTAGTAGAAAGAAATCACAAAACTAAGTGATCTTGCAGGATTTCCTAGATCAGTGTTTTTCAACCTTCGCAGCTTGAATTTGCGTGGACTTCAACTCCCAGAATTCCCCTGGGGAATTCTGGGAATTGAAGTCCACGCAAATTCAAGCTGCAAGGTTGAGAAATACAGTCCTAGATATTAAATGACTATGTTGGTCCATTGCACAGCAATGAAAGCCCAACATCTGTTCCCCATCCAGGCCCAACAAAATGTGAACAGATTACAAATCAGATAGAACATACACTATGGGCTCCTAAATATTTTCATTATTTCAGTTTATTCTTGTGGTTTTAAATGACTGTCTTAGCTGTTGACTGGGCTATTAATGGCCGGCCACTAAGGCGTTGGCTGTTGCTTCCTTGTGCTGCCAAGTACTCTGGCTCCTAAGTAACTGATCAGCTGATAGTAAATCAACAGATAGGATAGCCAAGGAAGGGATTGGAGCCTGGGAAACCGGCCCCAGAATTTGACAGCACAAGGAAACAACAGCCAATCGCCGGCCATCAACACATTAATCAACCAATAGGAAGGCACCATATAAAAATCGTTAAGTTACGGTCATGTGACGTCTCGCTTAATGCCCACATTGCTGAGTAACAGATTTGCTGGCCTCTGTTGTGATCATTAAGCAAGGACTGTCTGTGTTGCTGCTGATATATTACGTGGATTTCGACAAGGATTTGTGGTTTTCAAAATTGTATTTAATTATTTAAAACCCAGTGATAAATAACTGAAAACTGTAGCCTAATTCTCTGCTGCTTGTAAATTCCCTGTCCACTTCACGTTTTGTCTTTCTGACTTTGTTTCTCCTCTTTTCCTTCATCTATCTTGTCATCTTATTTTCTTGCCCCCAAATGTTTAACTCAAGTCATATTTAATTACATTTTTTAAAAAAAAAGAAAAAAAGAAAAAGAAACTTGACATTTCAGGAACCTCAGAGTTTCTTCTCCATGATGATCTGTGTTGTCAAAATTGAAATTGGGAAGAAGATGAATATAAGCAGGAAGTTTTTGTTCTGCGTTAATGGTGATCATGAAAGAGAGACTGGTTGATAAAGTCGTATCGCTAATCACTTTCTTTCAGAATATTCATGTCTGACATTTTAGAGATTGCAGAAGGGACTTGAGTGCTGCTAGGAAACTTCTAAAAAATCTTTTTTAAAAGCCTGCCTCCTCCTCCTCCTCCTAAATTGGAACGCAGCAGGGAACATCGTCAGAGAGGATTCAGGAACTGAAGCAAAATGACAGCTGACATTTCTCTTCCGATGAAAAAGGTGTTGCTTGAAATGCAAAACATAAATGCTTGATATGACCTCTGACAAACCAGCTACCTGTGGCCTCATCCAGCTCCAGGTGAAGCAGTGGATGCTTTGCTGCCAGAGCTCAGGAATGTTTTTATGAAGAGGTGGCGCAACTGTGTTTTTGACTTCACAATCTCATGGGATCGCAGAGCTCTGAGATGATGTAGGACAGTGATGGCGAACCTTTTAGAGACTGAGTGCCCCCAAACTGCCCCCCACCCCCGTCCCCACTCCGCCCTGCCCGCGGGGCCACCCACCACCTACACGGCCCACCACAGATCACCCAAGCGGCCCAGCAGCGCCATGGCGGCCACGCCCTCCACCCGTGCCCCGCAGCATCATCTGCGCGTGAATTTTGATCACGTGACCGTGGCGATGCTGCAACGGTGTGAAAAATAGTCATTTGTCACTTTTTTCAGTGCTGTTGTAACTTTGAACCGTCGCTAAACAAAGTGTTGTTAAGTCAAGGCCATCCTGCACGGGTTTTGTTTTATGCTCACGATGTACAGGGCAGGGGGACAGGAAGGGACGGGACCCCACTCCCTTGGGGGATCCTGCCTCTTTCTGGGACTCTGCTCCTCGTCTCCCCCCTCCCGAGGCTTCTTCCTGGAGTCTGGAGCAGAGTTCCCCAACCCTTCGGAGCGGTTGAGGACCCCTGGTCTGGAGCATTACATTTCTGACGTTTCATTCTGACCCACATGACACACACTACGGAGGGGGACCGTTTCCCTCCCGTGCCCCCTGTCCCCGGAGGATAAACGGCACGGACAGACACCGCCCTTGTCCTTTCTTCGTGACAATGCAACGTTTAGTTTGCTTCTTGGCTCCATTCCGTTTTCCTGCCTTTTGATAAAAACTCTACAGAGGCAGGGGAGGAAATATTTTGAGCTCTTCAAAATACGCCACCTGCCTAAGCACGTGATTCAAAAAAATAAAATAAAATAAAATCAGGATATACTGTTTTTTTTACAGCGTGCTCCAATGGTCCCTTTCAGATCTGAGACAATTCCATTTTTGGAAGGAACAAAAGCCTAAAACGTTATGCTCCATTTTAAGTACTGCTCGACTAAAATATACTTGGTGCTAAAAGCAACCTAGGATCTGAAGAAAGCCCTAAATTACCTTTTTTGCTTTTAATGACGAATCACGGCTTCTCTCTGCATTAATGAGCAACGCGAAAGGAAGGCAATTTAGGCAATTCGTCCAATCTAACCACACCAAGGGCTGACTTCCCGGCAAAGAGAGGGAGCCAGCTTCTTCAGGTGCGTGACAGGATTAGACCTATCTTTTAATGGACTAATTCTGCCCGGATGCAGTTAGAGACAGAGAGCCGGTTGACTATGCACAGGAAAAGCACCGTTGCTCTCGCTGAATTTCCACTGCAATTGTTGTTCGTCCGTCGATTTTCGATGAAGACCTTGACATCTTGTGGATTATGGGCCATCAGCGGTTGTGTCCGTAGATGGCTGATGAGACCGATGTTAGCACGGAATGTTCTGCCACATACTGAACAGAGAAAGGTGGACACTGTTGCTTCAGCATTTGCAGCTCTGGCTTTACGGAGTAGCTCGCTTCTCCTGTGCCAAGATTGTCCTCCTGTGTTCATATGTCTGGCAACCCTGGTAAACCAGGGTACGCCATGTCGGTCGATCATGCGCCAGAGATTCCCAAGAGATGGTATCGATATCCAGGGATTTGAGAGATGCTTTCAGCGTGTCTTTGTATCGCTTCTTTTGTCCCCCCTGCGATCGCTTTCCTTGAGACAGCTCACCATAGAAGAGCTGTTTAGGGATGCAATGGTCTGGCATCCTTACAACGTGGCCTGAATTTCCACTGCAATACCCGCTCCCCAAACCCACAAACTTTGCAAAGGCCGTCCTTCACTTACTGAAATCGATAAGGAACCTCCCAAATCCTTGCCTTTGGTACTGGGGCATGATCATGATGCAGGAGACGTTGTACTTCTGCTGGCAGAGCTTTTCCTGGAAAAGAGAAACAGGGGAGACGGCTGAAAACATCGCAAAGGCACTGCTTTTGCCCCCCCCCCCAATCTTCGAACATTACCCCAGAAGGCAACAGGTCAAAATCGAGATTACACTCTGCCTCAGAAAGCAGAACGAGGCAAAATAGACCAAATCTGGAAAGGCTCCGTGTTTTATGGAATTAAGAACTGAAAAACAAATAAATCCAAAAGGAAGAGTGCGACCAAATTAAAAAGGGGAGAGAAGAGGGGGGACTTATTTATCCTTCCCCATTTTTCTCCCACAGGAATGATGCAAAAGAGGTCATCCCCAAGCATTCGATCATATAGGGTGGATCAAAAGCCACACCTATCAAAAAGGCTGCTTTTCATTTTTATTTCAGCAGCAGCCACAACAGTTTATCTACAATAAAGTTATACTATACTATGGAGTCTTAAGTGTATCAGTTCTGCTTGGACTTTTAGAACACTTACATGTTTTCATGCAATATTTTTATACCGCGCAAGTGCTCCAAGACACCAATTATTTTTATGTTCAAAATAAAAAAAAAGTGAACAAACAAAAACATGAGAAAAATCTAAATAGCACCCACCTAATAAATAAATAGACCTGAGAGCCAACGCTGCCAACCAGACAGGGAGGCCTCCCAGCCTCTTTTTCAACCCGTGGCGAAACATTTGAGAGAGCAGCAAAAATGCAGCCCCAGATATCGATTGGAGAGCGGGAGTGGGAGAATTAAGAAAGTAACCCCATCCGTGGGACTTGCTGTCACAGAGGCATCTACAGTGTGATCAAAACAACCAAGATGGCGGACAGAAGAGCCATCTTGGCTTTTTTGACACACACACACACACAGAGAGAGACACACACACAAAGCACACACCAGTATTTGCCTAGTGTGCATAACAGATGGTGTATCTCTCTGCTCCTCCTCATTCATGGGAAGCAGCCATTAGGATCCATTATTTCTACCAAGTGAAGAACTTCGAATGAGTGAGTTAACTTGAGGTAAATGGCTGGTGGATGCTCATTACAGTACGTGATGTTGTTTTAATTGAACCATTACAACAGGAAGCCAGAAATTAGCTCTTGGGGAAATAGACCAAGATTGCTCTACTGGCTACTACTGGTTCCTAGATACAAACAATCTTGGTGAATGCTTGAATGAAAGAAATCCCAAATGTAGAATAGGAAATGTAAAAACTACCCTCGAAGCGCATTGGCACAAACCCCTCCAGCGCCGTCACCGAGGAAAACTACATGAAGAGGCCAGTGGGTCAGTTGGCAGATAGCTGAGTTCAATTCAGAGGGAGCTTTAATCTTTATATTAGACTTGAGATCACTTTTGATTTTGTTTTCCCCCCCCCAGCATCTTATCAGTAAACGGTGATTCTTTTCTTAATTGTTCATTATCCATTTAATTATATAGATGTACATATACGGCATATATGTAGATCTATATAAAATGCAAATAACGTACACAGAATATCAATAAAGCAGTAAAACAAAATGGCCACTGGAGTTTAAAATTTTAAAGCGAATGAAAATAGTAAAAAAGTAATACATTAATGTAAATCAGAGGTCTTCAAACGTGGCCCTTTTATGACTTGTGGACGTCAACTCCCAGAATTCCTCAGCCAGGCACGCGTGCCTGGCTGAGGAATTCTGGGAGTTGACGTCCACAAGTCATAAAAGGGCCAAGTTTGAAGACCCCGGATGTAAATGATGGGATAAAGGTACCCAGAGGATCTATCTGGTATACTCTACAGCAGACAAAATGCAAGTTAGAAACCGGTTGATTAACGGGTGGTTGTGAACAAACCATGTTTCATTAAAATTCGCTCAGGATTTCTTTTTTTAAAATCAGATGTTAAGAATCTATTTATTCTAGTGAACAGATGGCCCTCCTGTCAGAGAAGCAGCTGGCAGCAGCCAAGCAAAAGAAGAGGGGAGGAATTTGGAAAGCAGTGATCTAATCCGGCATTTCTCAATGGGTGGACATCAACTCCCAGAATTCCCCAGCCGGCATGGCTGGCTGAAGAATTCTGGGAGTTGAAGTCCACCCATCTCTAAGCTGCTAAGGTTGAGCAATGCAGACCAAGTCAGCAGAAAAACCAACGAAGGCATTCAGTAACTTCTTTTGCTTTGTGCCGCTTCGTTCGTGTGTGTGAGGAATAAGGCAGGGCTGCAGAGCTCCGTTCCAGAAAGCCATGGGGGGGGGGAACTCTGGGTAACCCCAAAGAGATGCTGACGTGCCCCATTTGGGTGATCCTGCCTGGGACCCCACCGGGCAGGGGGTGGGTTTTACAGGAAAGAGAAGCAGCCCCCTTCATACCACTTTTGTTCCCGAGAGAGGAGCCACTCGGTGGAAGGCAGGAAAAAAGAGAAGCTTCCTCAGAAGTGACAACCTCCCACGTTGAAACGAAATGCCCGTTTTGGAGTCGCAGCTGCGTCTCACCTCACGGAGCTCAGCCAGGAGGACACGAGGGCAGGGGGCAGGCTAAATTCCCAATCCCATATTTGGGGTCCGGAGTTCATTTTTGGCTAGCGCAGGGGTCTCCAACCTTGGCAAACTTCAAGACTTCTGGACTTCAACTCTGAGGAATGCTGGGAGCTGAAATCCCAGAAGTCTTGAAGTTGCCAAGTTTAGAGCTTCCTGGCCCGGCTCTCCTCCTCTCTTGCTTATCTGTATCTGCCCCCATCCCCCCCACCCCCCCCAAAAAAATAATTCTGGATCAAACGGATACACTCCTAAACCAAGCTCTGGGCTGCAGTTTTCTAATACTTCTTTTTCAAGAAAATCGCGAGAGACTCTCCGGAGGCCCAGAGGCATTTATGCAAATAAAAATGGCTAGAGAAGTGATCCCACCTTCTGGTTTTCAACTGAAACATTATTTTTTTTTTTAAAAAAAGGAAAGAACGCCAGGCGACGCTTTGAATACCAAGAGCAACATCTGAAGGCACGCTGCTGCTGCTGCATGGGCCCTCTTCCCTACCCAAAATACCAGGGTTTTTTTTCATCCCAGTGTAATTTCTTTCAGTGCATACTGGAACGCCATCACGGTCTCTTCCTGCGATTGACATCTTTCGCCACAAATTGTGGCAGGGGGTTTTCACCCGTAACTCTAAGACCCCCGTTTTGCTGTCATTTAAAAACCCAATCTTTCATTTCTGCCCTGATTATTTGTCTTGGTTTGAAAAGCGCAGTACGGTTGGCTCCAGCATTTTCGTTGAAAGAGAAAAACTGATGTGTGCACGTTGAAACGTAATCCAGGTTGCCGTGCGTCAGCTGCCCCACGCATCAGATGGAAAGCAAATAGAAAAACACCGGAGAGGAGGCCATCACTGCCGCCAGGTTACATTTCCATTTCAAAGTGAAGAGACACTACAGTTTTTTAGAAACCGACCAAGTGAAGACCAGATGGGAAGCTAAATGACGTCGGTTCAAGTTCCCCGATGCCAGAAGAACGGCACCCACGGCCAGGTTTTTAATAGGTGCCTCCTACAACGAGGAACAATTGCGTACAACATCATCGTCTGTGCTTACAACTTACCCTTCATATAGCCACACATTTTTCCCTCTCCTTTTAGGGGCAAATCCAGATGGAAGGTTGGAGTGCCTGGGACGAGCAGAGAAGCCTGGGATGCCCTGAACACCATGGACCCTGTTGCTTAAATCAGTAGCCAGCAAGATGGGTTAAAACTGCAGAGACCCGTCCGGTGTAGTAGAACCGAGGCTCGTAATGCAGCTTTGGACGGGGCTGCAATACACGGCCCGGCCTCTCAGCACTGCCGTGAGGGTGCCCACCACAAATCGGAATCAGAACAGAGCTGGAAGGGACCTTGGAGGTCTTCTAGTCCAGCCCCCTGCTCAAGCAGGAGACCCTAGGCCATCCCAGACAGGCGACTGTCCAATGAAAATGAAAAAAGTCCCATCAAGATTTGAAATCGTTCGTTTCTTTGGAAAATATTAAGAGGCACCGAGCTACAGTGCGTCATGGGTTGTGGGGAATCATGCTGATTTTTAGCAAGAATGGCTGGTTTTGTTGCAGGTAGTCCTCGACTTAGGACGAAAAATTTGAGACTGCTGAGGAAGGTGGTTAAGCGAGCTGCACCCAATTTCACGATCTATTTTGCCTTGGTCGTTAAGAGAATCACAGCAATTGTTAAGGGAGGCCGCCCGTGGGGGTCACATGACCCTGGGACGCCGCGAGCTTCGTAAATACACGCCAGCTCCCAAGCGCCCAATTTCTGATCGTGCGACCACGGAGATTGTGTGTCGCTTGTAAGTGCGAGGACCAGCTGCAAGTCACTTTTTTTTCAGTGCTGTTGTAACTCTGAGCAGCCACTAAACGAACAGTCGTAAGTCCAGGGCTGCCTGTATTTATATTTCTGTACCTTCGTACTCCGACAGCTGGCCCTCTCTTGAAGTCCCCTCTTTATGTCAGGGACTTGATAGAAAATATCACATTAAAATTTTGGGTCCAACCACCTTGTCTTTTCTGCTAAAACGGCATCGAGAGGGTGCCATTTTAGGCAAACTATTATTCCCTTGGCACCTCCGTAACATTCGGTCTGCGTTGCTCTCACCGAGCGTCTCCTGCCAAGCAACTCTGCTGATCTCCTTCAGCCTAGCTGCTGGCAGGAATCTCAACAGGATAACCTACTCCTTAATTTTTGTACTTCTCGGTTCAGAAATCCTGAAACTCACGTAATTCCGCCTTACTATTCTGCCACGTAAACATGTATATCTTTGTACTGTCCTATCAAACACCCTGGAGTATTTTCAAGCAGAGCAAGGGAGCGCAAACACTTTATGGAATTAAATTTTAAAAAAAAGAGAGAGAAAGAAATAACCTTCGACGGGGGGGGGGGGCACGTGGGAAGGGATCCAGGAAGTCAAGAAGGCACCCAGTACTTGGTGCAAGCAAAATCCCATCCTTTCCTAGGTGCTTCAATCACGCCCTCCTGGCTGACCTCTTGACTCTTTGGGCCCTCTCCCGGTGGCCAATCAGCCAACAGATGAAGAAGAGTGCTAGAAGAGAACTCCCTCCCTCTGTTTAACCCATCCTGCTAACTACAAATCTCAGCAACAAACAGCTCTGGGTTTAACTCACAGAAGGGCTCCTTTATCAATAGGGGAAGGCTCAGAGACTCCATAAGGCAATGCCGGACCAGGGCAATCTGGGGCAACTTTGCTGGTCCCACACACTGCATCCTCTTCACCTGAGCCTGAAAGAAAGAAGAACACGGGTGGGAGGCGTGAACAGGCAGACTGTGGCAAACGTATCACTTCCGATCACGGGGCCCACAGCCCCTCTCGGCTTGGGAGCAGCTAGGCTTCCCAAAACGTGGCCTTAAACCTGGTCTTAGATTCTAGGGTTACAAAACCCCAGCTACTTTCTTTTTAAACAATTTTATCACGTTTCTGCTTAGGTTCTAATGAGGGAAGCACAGACTGAACGTCTTGTATGCAAGGGACAAATTGTATTAAATATGCAACAAGGACTGAACGGCTGAAGGCAGCGCCTGCTCTGAACAGCCATTGTACTGCCGGATTTTGCTTCAAACGTGGGCGATTTAAAGGATCTGTGCATTGTATTTTGGACCTAAATCCAAAGGATAATGGCATCATTATTTTCAAACAGAAAAATGCGTTCCTTCCTGTTTGAAGTGCCCTTTTCCCAACAAGCATTCTGCATAAAAGCAAGATACTCTGATAATGGTAAGATCAAACTTTTACCTTTGAGAAGTATCCAACTAAGTGGCACCCTTTTTCATCATTCTTGGTGAGAACGTAGAAAAGGAACGGCTCGACATCATAGTATAAGGTTTTGTGGTCGAGAAAGAGCTTTGCTAACAAGCAAAGGTTCTGGCAATAAATCTTGCTGATATTCCCATCAACCTAGGAAGGAGAGAATGTCCACATCAGTATCTTAGCTTAGCAGCAGCTCAACCCAAGTGATGCTTACAAGGAACAGTCAAGTATCCATGCCATTCGGCCTATGAAATGTGCACAAAGGTAATCCAAATTTGCCATTTTTGTTCATTTTCTCCAATTAGACATCAACTCGGTGGGCACGTTATTTAAGCTATGTTAAGCTTTAATAAGCTTAACAGCCTTGAGGGGTTATGCAAAAAAGTAGAACCTAACATTACTCTCACTTTCTGTACCATCACATCTGCAAATAAGAATCAAATTTGGCCTGTTTTAGAGCGGTTTTCAGATAGAATTAAAGATGCTAAGAGAATACAAAAGTTTCCAAGTTCAGTAACAATGACAGTTCCATACTCGTTCAGCCCAGATTGATTTTGTTTTGGGGTCAGGATTACTTTTTAAAAATTATTTTTGGTGCCTTCAAGTCAGTTTTGAGACTGTCTGGACATGTCCCTGCAGTTTCCTTGGCAAGATTTTGGAAGCAATTTGCCATTGCCTGATTCCTAGGGCTAAGAGAAAATGACTGGCCCAGGGCCAACTTGCTGGCTTCAGGCCTACGACAGGAGTAGAACTCACGGTCCTCCAGTTTCCAGTTTCTGATGCCGTAATTACTGTACTAAACTGGGTCTCTGATTGAAATTTACTTGATCCTAAATACATTCTTATATCTCTTAAGAATTAGGAAATTCTTCAGTAATTTTTCTGTGAAATTTTGCCCTCTCGTAGACACATTAATAGCTTATATTTTGGTCGCTGACCAGTAAGCCATACAGATTTGCATATATTCCAGGTTAAGAATACTGAAAAGTGTTTCTATAAAATGAGTATATCAAAGGATTATTAGTACAACGATAGGAAAAAGATTCATAAATGAAAACAGAATCTAGAATACTTGTGGGTGTTATGAATCAAAAAACAAACCTGGTCAACTAACTGGATAAAATACAGTAGCTATAGAACACCTTAAATACTCAGGGACTAAAAATTATTTTAAAATACTGCTTTTTAAAATATACTACTACAATTTTAAAACAGAAGTGTTAGAATACTTTATAAATATACTTTCCGGTATCTTCACAATATTTTCCCCATACTCATATCAAACAAATATTATATATATATATATAAAGTCGATACAAAGCCACAACTAAAAAAGCTAGAGTAGCAAATCAAAAACATTAACCACTTGCAGTTGACATAAATCAATCTGGGAAGCACCAAACTGGAGCAGATTATTGGAGGCAAGATGCTGACTCTGTAAACCGCTTAGAGAGGGCTGTAAAGCACCGTGAAGCGGTATATAAGTCTTAAGAGCTATGGCTGTCGCTATTTATATTAATAAACTGATCTGGAAGCCAAGAAAGGAACTAGGAAACCATCACAGCAGCAGAAGTCTTTTTGCTGGAAACAGTGAGTATGAAATATCCAAAGACTTGGAAAGACTAAGAATTATATGTAGTTATACGATAAATCTTTTAGGACAACTCGTTATATTCTAATAATCAGAGGAAAACACAGCTCAGAAATACTGCCTAGGTATCTAACCTTCAGCCAGACACAAGACTTCCTGAGGACAATGGAACATCACCTACCTCGAACACCGAAAGGTCCTTCCTCCTGTAGATCTCGTTGGCTGGAGGATGGAACCAGCCACACTTCTCTGCATGTCTTAGCAAGATATTTTTACTTTTCATGTATTTAAGACAGAATTCACACAAGAAAAGCTTTGATAGTCTGTTGAAGTTTAAAATCAGAGTATCAGTATGAAATGCTTTAAACAAATTATATTCACCTTTATTTCTTCCAGGTGAATTAAAGAGACAGAAAGAAAGATTAAAACAGATATTCTGCCATGCCTGGAATAAAACAAGCTGCTTACGTTGATCATAATCAAACACTCATTTAATAATATACAGCACAAAGGAACACTCCCAACTCCATATAAATATTGTATTAATTCAGTTGGAGCCCATCATCCCTACACAACAAGTAACGGGGCATAATTTGTCAACTGATAGTTGATAAATAATTTGATACCTATTGTTTGGGGGGGGCAGAATCAAGCACATTTTTAAAATTATTTCAGTGACAATAAATGAGCTAGAAACTAACGTTGTATATTTGAGAGGTTGCCACAAAGAGGAAGGGGTCAACTTATTTTCCAAAGTACGAGAAGGCCAGACGATCGGTGGAACCTGATCAAGGAGAGAAGCAACCTGGAACTAAGGAGAAACTTCCTAACAGTGAGGACAATTAACCGGTGGAACTGCTTGCCACCAGAAGTTGTGGTGCTGGAGTTTTTTTAAGAAACTGGACAGCCACTTGTCTGAAATGGTATAGGGCAGGGGTCTTCAAACTTGGCCCTTCCTCAGTCTGGCTGAGGAATTCTGGGAGTTGAAGTCCCCAAGTCATAAAAGGGCCAAGTTTGAAGACCCCTGATATAAGGTCTCCTGCTTGAGCAGGGGGCTGGACTAGAAGACCTCCACCATCCTTTCCAGCTCTATTCTGATTGATTGATTGATCACTATGGTTTTAGGAGCAGAGTTTTATAGTACAGAATTCAACTTTCACATAGCGTTTGAATCTGAGATATCTTGTAAATGGCAGCAGCTATATTTGGCGCAATGGGACGATACTGAATGCATCGTTGTAGGGATAACATTATCTTTCCATTACCCTGTGATGTATATGTGGCATGCCTACGTATAGGAGTGGTCCTCTTACCTTGCATATTCATGGGGATAAGGTGAGGAGTACCAAGTCTGGATCTCATATTTTCCAAATTCTATCACAGAAGGGTAACGTCCATTGACCTCTCCGCCGTTTTTACAGCCTATCTTCTATTAATGACAGTTTTTAAAAAATGTGTCAGTGTACGAAGGCTGTTCCTTTTCTGCCCCTAGATTTCAGTAACAATTTCACCTTTTCCCCCAGGATTGTTTGCTACTAGAGGTGAGGAGATACCTTGCTGCAGGGAGTGAACGTAAAAATGGCAGCGGTCACCTCAACAGAAACATGAAATAACTTTTTCCTCTTTGAAAAGTATCTAAGCTTGTTCTAATTTTGTTACTTAAAGTTCAGATTTGGAAAAAAGAAAACTGAACTCAAAGCAAGAAAATGCATAGGATAGGAGAACCTGATCAGAAACAATCAGGATAATTTTAAGATGAGTGAACAAAAGTTGTTACAGGCAAAGTAACTACTTGAAAAGAAAAGAAAAAAGACTTAGAAATTGGGCATACAGCATATCAGCCCAAAGAGCAACAGCTGGTATTTAAAGAAGAGAATATTTCTTAGCTGGGGGACAAACTCATGGTCAACAAAATTCCCGTCAATGTTATGTTATATAATTATGTGTTTCAAGTTTACACTTCTGAAAGAATGCAGAAGGCCAACATGAAAGAATAAAATTACCCACTTTTAAGACATTTTAAAATTTATGTAAAATTACCAGGTTTTTTTTTAATAGAAGAAATACACACCCAGTGTTAGATTTCAAGGAGAATCAAACAATTAAATTAAATTAAATACAATTAAAATTTCCACTATTGTTAACTGGAAGACTGTGCCCGACACCTGCCTTCCTGCTTACCTCCATTGCCAGTTCCTGGGCCTGTTTAAACATGTTCAGATCTTCTTCTGTAACAAAGTTCTTGCTTCCCACCACAAACAGATCCGAATTTTCTTGTTTGATGCTTATTTTGATTTCTGTACCTGTTGTTTAAAATCAGCAGAGAATTTCTTCACCAACATGAGGGCAAAAAGTGCCTTAAAACTAACAAAGTGGAACTTCTGTTTCTCTTCCTGGACAGTTGCTACTTTCAAACCCTTGAATTTTCCACTGAGATAATAAATCTATCGATTTTAAGTACCTTGACGGTTAAAAACCACCAGGCAAATATTTAAAAGATGCTGCCAAGCTCTCTTGTAACGTCTGTTAAAGTGCTTCCTGTTACAGTTTGCCTGCCTCTACTCCATTACTCTGAATTTCTAAATATAAAAATGCATCATATGGCTGCATTAGCCTTAAAAAAATACCAAAAGCAGATTAGAAATAAACGAATACAAGGTTTTTTGTTTTCCATAAAGAAAATATGGATTTAAAAAAAAAAAAACCCAGAAGGAATAAATCTCACAATCGTACAAATTCAGCGTTGGGTAGCCGGGGGTGGGGGCGTTTTTCCATGGAAAAGCAATGGAGGAGAGGAAGATGAAATGGCGAAATGGTGATTCTAACAAGTGTGTCAAAACGGGACCACAAGCACAGAAAGGGCACCGCACACAATGAAGCGGCTACCGATAGGCAGCCAGGAAAAGCACCAGGCAAGACCCGGGAGAGATGAGCCCAGGAAGGCCAGGGCATCCACAGGACGGACAAAGGAGGTGACGTTAGCTGGAGAAGCACCTGGCAGGGTTAGTCAGGGCTCACTGCTTCGATGTAAGAGTGGAGTAAGAACAAGAACAAGTCAAGTCCTGGGTGACAAAATAAGAATCTGGATCTGGAATTTGGAGGCAGGTTTAGTTGGGGCCTGGACCTGTTGCTTACCATCATCCCGATCAGCCTTAATTCTTCCGCCTGCCAAGCTCCCCTTCCCTGGGGAGGGGGTCCCCACCTGAGGGGCCACTTTACACTTTGACCTGCCTAGAGCCACCCGCTTTTTAAGGAAAGTTGTCTGCCCGAAGTCAGCCACTGCTTGGAAAGCCTCTCCTCCAGACCCTGTGGTGGGAGGAGGAACCAACCTACGGCCGACCTCTTCCTTCCCACGGAGAGCAGGGCTGGGCTCGGGCGCGGGGGAGAGGCCTGCTTTACGACGCCAATGCTGGGGAGGGGCATAACGGGGCTGCCCCTTTGGGCGCGACTGTTCCCGAGCAGCATAAACGGGAGGCGGTCCATCCAAAAGCCGGCTGCGATTAGGATGACCGCTGGGCTGCCCGGAGGAGCTCTGGGGAGAACCGAAAGAGATGGACGTGCCGGACTTTCGTGAAGTGGGGCACTGACCAGAGAGGGAGGGGGCTGGGGGGGTGGAAGTGAAGAAGGTTTTAGCTTTTGTGTGGTACCTGTAGCCAACACATGAGAAGTACAGGAGGGTTTCTGGGAGGCCACTTTCCTTGGACGATAATGCTTTGAAAAGTCAATTATTTCACCTCGTGATCTGCGACCATCGGGTGATGGTGTGAAAAACTTAGTGAGGCCGTCAATGAGCCCCTGGGTTTTCTTGTTTACTTTAAGTGGAGCGGCAGGTATGTAGGTGGAGGTGATGGTGGAGGTGAGTTTGGTGGCGGTGGCACCAGGCCAGGTGAGGTCTGGAACAGCCAATCTGCTGCTTGAATCCTTCACAGGTGCAGCATGAGCAGATGAAGGTGTGGTACAGACTTTAGTCTTTTGACCCCTACCAGGTGACCCCCTTCCTGGGAATGCGCTCTTGGATCCTTCGGCACTGGGAGCAGACCTGGCGAGGAAAGATGGAGGGAAAGGAGAAGCGTCAGAGCAGAGAAGCCACGCCCCCCACGCGCCCCTGCTCCCCTCACGGCAACAAACACACAGGCCCAGGCTGGAAGCTCAGTCCTTTGGGGGGTTCCCAGCAGACCCCCTTATGGGGAGCGGCTTGCCCTGCCAGAGCACAACCTCCATTCAGTGACAACAGCGCTGAAAAAAGTGACTTGTGACTGGGATTACACTTATGACCGCTGCAGCGTCCCCAGGGTCACCTGGTCAAAATGGGGCATGGGTTTATGAAGGTCGCAATCCCCTTTTGCGACCTTCAATGAGGAAAGCCAGATTCTCTTATGACGGTGTTGCCAACTTAACAACTGCAGTGATTCGCTTGCAAAACTCACTTAGCAACTGTCTTGCTTAGCAACAGCAACAATTGTGGTCGCAAATCAAGGAGTACTTGTACAATAATCCTTCTACAGGGGCCACCTGCATGTAGACTAAATCATGTACTTCAGTGTTTCTCAACCTGGGCAACTTTAAGCTTTGCTGGTTGGGGAATTCTGGGAGTTGAAGTCCACCCATCTTAAAGTTGCCCAGGTTGAGAAACACTGATGTACTTCATTTACATAATGTGTTTCAATAAATGTGCTGGCAAAAGCTTATTAAGATTGTTCCCATTCTATTTCAGACCTGGAACCTTCATAGTACTGGAGACGAAGCTAATTTTATTCTTAAAACTGCTTTATTTTTGTTCATTTTGATGATGTGTAATAAACACCAATCTTGAAGGAAATGTTGCTAGCCACATCTAAGTTTTTGAATGAAAAAGAAAAATGAAACGATTGTGAAGCATTCTGTATATTAAAGGTGCTGTAGATCCTTTTACCAAGCGTAAACTGGGGGGTCACTCACAAAAAGGATCCCTTCTCTCCCCATATTTTCTGCTGCTTCTTAAAAACAGTTAGAAAACCTTTCTCAGAATAGGCATTAATCGTGGTTAAATTACATTAAATTCAGACTACACTTTAACATCAACTGAACCCCCCACATGGAGTCATTTCATGGCAAGAAAACTAATTAAGAAACAATAAAAAAGTGATTAAAAGGTCCAAATCCTAACACCTGCCTATAGCAGCTTAAGAAAAAAAGCTGAGCAGGTTGATTTTCAGCCAGTCCCATGAAACCTTAGATAGCCAGAAGTCAGTTTTTTCTTCGCAGAGTGACAGAATGCTGTTCTCTAATAAATTCTGCCCAAATGTCAAACTGACATGACAAGAAGTCAATCGGTTCCAATAAACCATGTTCTTTCTGAAGAAGGTCACAGTGTATTGCCCAATTCTGAATTTAAAAACCCTGCAGGAACGCAGCGGCCTCCCTGAGGCTCCACACTGATTTGATAACCACGGTAGCAATTTACAGATCTAATCCAATATACAGTTAATACATTTTACCCAGCATAATATACAATTAGGACAGTTTAACCCTACTAATAAGGATGCTTTCATTGACTGTCTGTGAGGCTGCATCTGGCAAATAAAATTCCTGCCTCCGGAGCATAGTTACAACTACAATACGCATCCAGAGGGTCACAACAGATAAGTTTCAAGTCAATTTATTCTATTAAGGCAACAACTATAAAAACAACATTCAGACAATATAGAGGAAGGCGATACCCCAAATGTACCATGCTCTCATATAATACATAGAGATGATTACTTACAAAAATACCACTTTTATATCAGCCATAAAACGCTACTTAAAGTAAATTAGTTTCTAAAGAAGAATGTCGTTCTATACACCATTAAGATCAAAATGCAAACACAGTAATTTATTTTTCTTTAACTGCAAAAAGCGTGCAAGCCTAGCAAAAAGTTACAGAGGCATAAATAAAATTAACAACAAAGGAAAACAGAAAAGTGGGGAAGCGATGAGTGAGAAGCACTGAGATTTAGTGAGAAAGAACGCGCAGTTTGCTTAAGGAAGCGCTGAAAGGTTAAAGAAATCACTTTTTAAGTAAATGTCAGACCCATCTCAACGGTGTCAGTGATTAAAAGGAGGATATTTCACTTTCTCGTTCATTTTACATGTAAGAATATCCACAGACAGGAAGAGTTATCCAACTGAAAATCAACAGAAAATTTTGTAATTACTTCAAATCAATTTAATCCCTTCGTACATCTCGCTGAATATTAAATATTCTATAGAAGGCATATCCCCCCTCCCTCGGGCCACTTAATGGAAGAACGACAGGTGACATTAACAGTCTTAACGTGAAGAGAAAAGTCACAACCCAAGGGAGCCATTTGGCCCAAAGAAGGTGGCATCCTTCCATTTGGACCATAGTTGAGTCTTCTTTCTCACGCACTGCTAAGTTTATTAGCTACTGACATGGGCAATGGGGTCACTCTTCTAATCTTTCTACATAGCTGTTTGAATATGTCAAGCCCTGGCCTTAGCTATGAAGCTACAGTTGTGATTGATTTCTCTCTTTTTTAGATTTTTTTTTAAAATTCTGTCTTTATTATTTTATAAATAACTCAAGGCAGCGGACATACCTAATACTCCTTACTCGTCTTTTCCCAACAATATCAGCTCTGTTAGGTTGGTTGGGCTGAGCGAGAGGGGGACTGGCCCAAAGTCACCCCAGGCTCTCATGTTTAAGGCGGGACTAGAACTCACCTTCTCCTGGTGATTGGCCCAAAGTCACCCAGCCAGCTTTCATACCTAAGGCAAAACTAGAACTCACCGTCTCCTAGTCTGGTGCATAGTTTTTTTTATGATTGGTCTTCTTATTAATAATAAAAAAGAGAAAGAAAAGCAAATCACAAAGATAATGATGGAGACAGATATACTGTCAAAAAGAAAAGAAAAAATGTATTAAAAGTGTTTTAACAAAAGAAGTAAACAAATTACTACAAAGATAAAAACATAGTGTGATATGTCATTGTTACAATAAATAGCTACAATTCCAAAATAGCATTTTGTGGAAGATGTAATAAGGATCATGCTTTTATAAAACACATGTTTCTGAAATGTCCTATACCTACTAAGTGTTAGGAGAAAGCAGTACATGGATTTTGACAACCGGACAACCGGAATGGATTCTCCATGCCCTTCCTAAAGACCGATGCCAAAGCAGCGGAAAGTTAAATATATTAAAAATCTGACTGTGCTTGTCATTTACAAGCCAATTGTCTACAGAGGTAAATTTTGCATAGGCACGAGTATTGAAATGTGGGACTCATTTAAACAGGAATAGAATAGGTTTTTTTAAAAAAAGATAGTTGTATTAATTATGAGAAAAATATACTGTACATATAGTACTTGAATCAAATTTGCATTAGATACAGCAGGGGTGTCAAACTGCTGGCCCGTGGGCCGGACGCGTCATCTGGAAGCCGTGCCCACCCCACTGCCGCAATGGCAAAACCGGCCCGATACGTCGCGTGATGTCACGTGACGTTGCGAGTTTGACATGTCTGAGATATAGCTTTTTTTTTTTTTAACATAAAGAAGGTTAACACTCACAAGGTATTTCTATCTCATCTGCTAATTCTTGTTCCCCTTTAACACTATATTGAGAACTAATTTTCTGGTCTCCTCAGTTGTGACTGTGGCAATATAACGCCCACATTCTAAGCACAAACACAGACTTGCCTGCTTCTTTAGGATGAAGAGCAATTACCCCCACAAGGAAGAACCAGAGGTCTTCAGACTTGGCCCTTTTATGACTTGTGGACTTCAACTCCCAGAATTCCTCAGGCACAGTTGAAGTCCACAAGTCATTAAAGGGCCAGGTTTGGAGACCCCTGGGTAAGACCCTACTATGCTCTTTGCTTTGGGGCATGCTGTCCCCATGTCCCCTTGCTCTAGAAAACAAGAATCTGGGGTGGAGGACCAGATCAGCTGCTTGAGTCACGAAGGAAGCTGTTCTGCCAAACAATACATGCATCAAATAAAACAAATTCCAAGGCACTTTTTAAAATAACTTGATTTTAATCTCATAGGTCTGTACTTCTCTATCCATAAAAAGCAAGCAAAAAATAAATAAAAATAAATACTATGAGGTTTAACAGGAGGAGGAGGAGGAATATCATCTCTAACATGGCATCGGACCTGGATATCTCCGAGACCGCCTTCTGCCGCAGGTTGCCTCCCATCGGCCGGTACGCTCCCACAGAGTGGGTCTCCTCAGGGTGCCGTCAGCCAGACAGTGCCGGCTGGCGACCCCCAGGGGGAGGGCCTTCTCGGTGGGAGCCCCCACCCTCTGGAACGAACTACCCCCAGAGATCCGGGTGATCCNATTATTATTATTATTATTATTATTATTATTATTAACAGCTTTGCTCCCTATGCCATCGGTCTGGCAAATTCGCAAGATGCTTTTTTCTCGCCAGGTATATGTAGACATCTGAACTAGACTGTGTTGTTTCTCTGGGCCACATACGTGTGTGTGTAGGTGGGTATATGCATAATTTATTTTTTGTTATGTTTATGCAATGTATATTGAAGGTGGTTATGCAACGAAATCTCATTTTAAAGTATGCTGATTAGCGTACATTTAAAGTGACAATAAAGTTATTATTCCTGTTCTGTTCTGTTCTCTCCTGTTCTGTTCTGTTCTATTCTATATTTCCATTCCATTCTATTCTATATTCTACTATTCTGTATTCTATTCTATATTCTATTCTATATTCTATTTTATTCTATTCATTCTAATTCTATTCTATTCTATTCTATTCTATTCTATTCTATTCTATTCTATTCTGTAGTATATTCTGTTTCTTTTTCCGTTTCCATTCCATTCCATTCCATTCTATATTCTATTCTGTTCTGTTCTAATCTGCATTCTCTTCTCTTCTAGTCTAGTCTAGTCTATCCATCAAACAGCTTACAGTGGAATGGGGAAAAGTATTATTAATCTTCTTAAAAAGATCATAAGGAAGGGATCTCCTTAATAGAAAGAAAAACAAGGCAGAATACTTACAACATTTGTTGCTTTAGTTTGTTTTTTGGTCGTCCAATAGGCCTTGTGTAGCGTCGCCGTATCTGGGAAGCGCGCTCATGAAGCAACTTCTTCCCCTTTTTCTTTGGCCTGCAGACTTGGCAAACCCACATGCCTGAATTCAACATGAAAGGGAGCCTATTAATTCTGCTGCTGCCTCTCCACCCTCGGGACAGGCTCCCCGGTCAACTGGCCGAGGAGAGACAAGAGACGGTTCCTCCTGCATCAGGTAAAACCCAAATGACAGGCCGCCCTCTTGACACAACCTATGACAGCGACATTCTAGTTCACGTATTCACACCAAGCAGGTCAATGTGTTACCCATGCATTTCCAGCTCGGTATGCAAAGACATCCTGGCAGGTGTCAACACCCTACAGTAACTAGATTTTTTTTTTCAGCAACAAAAAAGCTGAGGACCAAAGTCTGTTTTACGGGAGGAAACAGTAGGGGAAGACAGCGGTTGACAGTACAGGAAGTCCTCATCTTGCAACAGTTCATTCAGTGACCGTTCAAAGTTACAATGGCACTGGAAAAAGTGACTTGTGACCGTTTTTCACACTTGCAACCCCTGCAGCATCCCCGTGGTCACGAGATCAAAGTTCAGACGCTTGGCAACTGGCTCGTACTTATGACGGCCGCAGTGTCCCCGGGGTCACGTGATCCCCTTTTGCCACCTTCCATCCAGCAAAGTCAACGGGGGAAGGCGGGTTCACTTAACCGGGTTACTGACAGAACAACTGACGTAACCGCTGTGGCAAGGGAGGTCGTAAAATGGGGCAAAGTTCACTTAACAACTGTCTTGTTTAGCAGCAGAAATTTTGGGCTCGAGGTCTGCCTGTACTTTAAATAGACACAAGTGATAAGTGAACCCTGTAGTTGAATATGGAGTCCAGAGTGTGGGCTGTGGAACAATACATTATTAATAGTTTTTATTTGTTTTTGTTTGTTTTATTTTTATAGCCGCCCATCACAATCTAAGTTTCTAGAAGTGGACAGAATGCAGAATAAAACAGCGTAACAAATAAGGTTAGTTCTTGTGAATAAGAAAACAAACCAAAATAAATTCATTTAATGTATAGTATGAAACCACGGCGTAAGGTAACAGCCCTAGTTGGAGAGCTCATATAAAGATGATACGTACCACTCACGGTCTGTGTGTTATAGAGAAATCTTTTAGTCAGATGTGTATATGTGTAATAAATCCTCCTTGGCAAGATAAGCTGTTCATTTTCAAAAGCTATTTTTATTTTAAGCTTTTGATTAATTATCCAGCTGAAAGTATTAGAAAGGAGCAGCACAGGAGACTTTGACATAAAGAAAAGTCATTTCCAGTGCTGAAATAAACAGCATGAAATCAAAATATAACCCACCTTATCAGCAGTAAAAGGCTGAATAGACTACTGATTATCATGTTAAGTTTAAAGGTAGAGTGAGCAAATTATAACACATTTTTCTTCTTTTGAAAAATGGAAAATATTCCTTTGCAATCTTAAAATCCCAAGTACCATTAATTTTATAAAACACGAAGGTAGAGAATAGCCTCATCCCTACGAAACTGTGGCAAAGAGACCCACCAGAGAAGCCAGACTAGCTAATCCTTCAACTAGCATTAATCAAGCTTATGTTTAACTGTTCAGTTCTAGGTGATGCAATTTCCTTAATTAACCATATTGAAGATTCATCATAATTCCAGAAGCAGACATGAAGCAAAAGTTTCCAGATTGTATTCCAAGCAGAATAAGGAAGAAAGAATCATGCAGCAAAGATAAACAGGTCTAGCCTCATTTATGTCTCACTGAGCGCTATTTAGCATACCATAGAAACATTAACCAAGACCCTTAAAAAGGAGGGTTCCATGGGTTGCCTAAATCTTAAAAGCGTTATGAATGCAATTAGTAAAATAAAGCAAGGGGAAAGCTGCTTCAAATTCCAGAGTGCTCAATCATCAGCACACACTGGATTCCACATAGGTATCTCTTGGAACTACTTAGCGACGGCCGAAGTGAACGAAACCCCGAGGCACACGGATTTGGCCAAGCTCACCTTTTGGCATTCGAGAAAGTGGCGGGTCACAGCACTCCATGTGGAAACCTCTGTCACAAGAGTCACAGAAAAGCATGTTATCCTGAAAGAGAGAAAGGGGGGGGGAGGGAATAAATAAAGGACTCTTGGCACTTCCATGACCCAAGGCTCTTATTAAATTATCAGCTGGGCTACCCGGCTAGTTCTCATTCCTGTCACTCTTTCCATGTAAATATTGTAGAACAGAATGTAGAATAGGATATTCTTTATTGGTCGAGTATGATTGGGCACACAAGGAATTTGTCTCTGGTACATTAAATATTTAGATACATATGTAATGATATTTAACCATTTTATTATAAATTAATACTGGGAGCAGTCCTGATCATAGTTATAGGGAAGGTGATATATAAATATCTGAAATACAATTAGTGTACATTCTAATATGAGTAGAAAATACTAGTATTTATGTATGGGTCCCCTAGGAGCCAAATGGGCCTTGTGGGAACGGGATATAAAATTTTACTTACTGCATTTTTGCCTTGGATCCTGCAGGCGCTACAGGTCTTGCACTCGATGCACTGCCATCTTAAGGCCTTCACGTTCGTCGTTAACTCCAAACAAAATTTAAGACAGGATGGGTGCCCTATTAAAACAACCAAGAAGTACAACCTTCATTTTAAGCATTCTGTTGCAATAGAAACACTAGTCCAGGAAGTTCTCATAAGTTATGATATATTTTTTTGCATTTTATTAAGAACTCCTTTATTCAAGATTTAGCCATTTAGCAATTCAATTGCCAATCTCAAAATGTTATGTTCGATGACGTTTAACTAGCCAATTAAATTTATTTTATCTATAATGTATCTGAAAGTTTCTTTATTTAAGCCCTGGAATTCTCAGTGTTGATCTCCCTGACCAGTGACTATGAATTGTTATGAGGAAAGATATATCACTGATTATTACATCAAGTACCAGTAGTAAAAAGCCATTATCTGCAGGGAATGAAAAGAAGCAACCTCTTCCACGCATTGCAGAAACTTCTATTTTCACAACTGAATTGTGAAGCCAGGAGCACCTGCTCTGGCGGGGGGGGGGCAGTTATGGACTTCAACTCCCAGAAATCCTGAGCCAACTTGGCTCAGTTAAAGTCCACAGGTGGTAAAGTGGGCATAGCTGCTCAGCCCTGCTCTAGGGAAATAAAGGAATAACAACTACATCACTACATCTTGCCTGGCCATCCCATCCCCCGATTGAAATGTTCAATGCAACAAGAAGAAGAAGAAGACAACTGGACATGGGGATGGGGTAAATCCTATTAATCACAGTAGGTATAATTTACTTGATTACTTCTAAATTAAAATCTTTATTTCTTAGACTGCGGTGCCTGGGATGCTACCGAAGACCTTCGACCTGAAAAAAATGTAAACCCCCCCCCCCTGCCTTAATCAAGGCACAGAAAACCCAAGGCATGGCTTCTCTTCACAAATCTTTCGTTTTTAGATAGTTAAGGCCTTAAAAAACAGGGAGATCTGCTCTGCCCCCAGAGATTTAGCCGTCTAATGCAAGTGAACTACTGGATGCCAGATGTAGGGTTGAGCTGTCACATCTGTATCCTGCCTGGGTCTTTCTCCTGGACTACATGGGCCTTTGATCTCATCCAGCATAGCTTTTCTTACATTTTATAGGCCTGCATCCCTCATAAAACAGATGCAGCCGTAAAAAGATAAAGTATCTTTTACAAAAGTTTGTCCACGAAGCACATGAACTTTGACAAATCAAAGTCCTATAAGAAAATATACGCAAAATAAAATTGGTCATTTCTACTGGCACATCAGATTCCCAAAGGCATGCAGACTTCGTTGCGTGATCCACTAGGAGTGAAATATATCCCATAACCAATGGAAAAATAGTTCACTTTCCCAAGGTGCTCTGTCTGAGATTTCAAGGTAACAGGGGTTAAGAATCAGTGGATTTAGCCAAAATGGACTTTATCCAATCTAGCACTGTGTGTTGTGGCTTAAACAAAGACAAAAGTTTCTTATTACACGATCTGGGTTACCTGTCTACTGGGCGTAAAAATGTCTGGGTCGTGTCTAACGACCCTGTTGGATTTTTGTCACTATCCCAAGCAACTTCCTTTCAATTTCCTTCTTCTACTATTTCCCTTTTTCTCTCTCTTTTCTTTCCATTCCAGTAATGGCTGTGAACATAGAGAATATTTCTCTCTCGAAAGAACACTCTTGTGAATCTGATGAAACCCACCCAGCTTACTCCACTGCTTGTCTCAGGTAGATGACATACTCACCTTTTTATTTTTTATTTTTATTATTATTATTATTTTAAAAGACCAAAACGGACAGCAGACATTCCAAAATGCTACCTTTGGGTGGAAAGAACCCCCGAGAGCATTACACTCGCGGGAGAAAGCTTTCTAACTTACGCCCTCCTGGGAATGAAGTTCTCCTTCCATCCATTAGAGGACCCTCAATCTGCAAATATAAATATATGCCTTGACCGAGTGACTTACCGCTGCTACCGCAGTCAGCGCAGGAGAGGAGTTCCTCTGGCTTTTTCTCACGGTTGGACTCTTTTGTCCCCAGACAGAAGCTACATATGGGGATGGGATCAGCCCGGGGCTACGGAAAGAATGGTCAGGTTAATTAGTTAGTTCTCTTCCAAAGAACTGCTTTCTTTTTTCTTGACCTCAGTGGATTAGGATCCTGGTTTGGATTCCTTCTTTACTGGCAGAAATAAAGATTTTCTCTTTTATACTTTTGTTAAGTTCAAATACTTTAATTCTTGTTTCCAGGACGTTATTCGTTCCTAACAACTAGGAATAAATTTGGCCCAAATTTAGAATTATTCTTTGTATCATCTAGACCAGTGGTGGGATTCAAATAGAGGAACAACCGGTTCTCTGTGTGGATGCCGCCTCCGGAAGTCCGTTCTGGGCCTGGGCAACACAAAATTAGCTACCGGGTTCTGCCAAAGTGATTTAGACCTCATAGGTATTAGGAAACAGGAATTAAGTATTTCCAGCCTATGAAAGGGAAGTATCTGAGATGCATGAAAAAGCAGCTCCAGTCCTCCACAGCTAAAAGAGAAAACCAACATCTAGGAAGCCTTCATAGTTATCAAGAGACACAGACGAAACACTTAACTTACATCCTTCCCAGACTCACTAGGACAGGTACAGGTGTTAGTACTGGAGGGTGCATAATTCACAACTCAGCATACACTTACCTGGGAGTAAATCATATGATAATCATTGGAGTTGACACATATTCTTAAAATTAGTTCCAAGCCGCGTTTGGGAACAGGAAGAATTTTAAACATTTAGGCTTTGCAAAAGCTTGAATTGTATGCAACCTACATTCAAATTGTGCGGATACATTTAATTTTTCAGTTCAGTTTTTTTAATATACAGAACTCCTAGCCTTAGTCTAAAGGAAGAGTTGCAATTGTCCCTTTCTTTCAAATACTCACGTAGTATCTAAAATTTTATATGTGAAATCCTCTTATTTTGGGGGGCGCTGCCCTCATAAGAAGGGTGGGTTTAGAAAACTCAAAAACAACAAATGTTTAAGCATTTCCAAAGATCAGCGATTATAAATTTCTCAATTTTTCCAAAAATAGCAAAACTTGAACAATGACCGTTTTTCACACTTACGACCACTGCAGCCTCCCCAGGGTCACATGATCAAAATTCAGACCCTTGGCAACTGACTCACATTTATGACGGTGGCAGCGTCCCGGGGTCACGTGATCCCCTTTTGCGACCTTCTGACAGGCAAAGCCAATGGGGAAGCTGGGTTCATTCAACAACTGGGCTACTAACTTATCAACTGCAGTGATTCACTTAACAACTGTGGCAAGAAAGGTTGTAAAATGGGTCAAAACTCACTTAATAAGTGTCTCACTTAGCAGCAGAGACTTTGGGCTCAATGGCTTTGGCTGGCTGAGGAATTCTGGGAGTTGAAGTCCACAAGCCTTAAAGTTGCCATGGTTGGAAACCCCTGGTCTAGATGCTCTCCAAGGTTCCTTGCATTCTATGGTCTTATACACAGCATACTCTCACAGACTACAGTGGGTTGTTTTTTTTTATCTAAAGTGGTAATTGAGAATATTCCTAATTTAGCATTTGCCTATCTTACCATTTTTATCTTGCTTATCCAACTCTCCTTAAACTGTTTTTTATTTTGCCCTGTTGCTTGGATTGTGCGTTTATTTTATAAAGGGTGTGTAACTTCCTTGTCCAGGTCAACGAACATGCCTCAGTCAGATAGAGAGTTGTTACCAACAGTACTTCCACCGACACTTTAGCCGTAATCAATTACGACTATTTAAACAAGGTCAACCACTCAGCATTTAATTGAGGTATTTTTAAATATAATACTGTTGGGTCACCTTAAAACAAGCCAACAGAGGCCCAGAGGCCGCTTAATATTTAAACAGAGCCATTCACATCTGTTTCCATCCAAGACCAAAGTTATTGTACGTCACTGGAAGCAGCTCATTAATATATTCTCCGCATCTTTCAGAGGTTATAGGAATAGCAATGCTTTCAGAAGCATCTGTCATAAAATCTAAACAGCGCAGCTAGACGTGCACACTTCTTTTCTTTATTAGCTCGTGAAATAATCAACCTTATTTAATCTAAGCGAAAAGAATGGAACTTTAAATGAAAATAACCAATTACTTTTGATATCAGCCTTTTTCATCATTCAACTCATCTCTTTAGGTGGCTCACTTGATAGCAAGTGTTCCCAAAAAAATATTATCCACTCGTAATTAAACTGAACAGCTGTCATGTTCAATTACAAATCTGTAGAGTTTTCTCCTTTAACTTGAAATACATAGTTTTTAATTGAAGTTTGATCAAATATTTGAACAGCAGGCATTTTAATGACTCTCTCACTGCATTAATGAAGAAGGCAAACTATACAACTGCAGTGTACCGTAGTATAAATAATAATGATCGTATTTGCACAAAGCTACTTAGGTTTATTCTTAATATGTTATTAGCACTCATAATCAAAGCAACAAAGATAAAATAAAAATAATAAAAATAGTAAACCAATCTGGGAGTATAAAGTCCAGGTACCGTATATGTCAGCATGCAATCAGATTATTGATTGATCATAAACTAAGCAGGATCAAACCTCATTAAGACCTAAATGGGAGACTATTAGGAACAGGCATGTCCCCACACACTCACAGAGACTTCTTGCTTGTTAGTTATTTCTTAATTAAAGCACTGAATATCCACTGTGTTTATGACATTATGAAATATCATACACAAATGTGTAGTATATAACTGTGAGCAAACCAGAAGCCCTTCAAACATAGTACTTGCATTATTAATTTGTGTTACCCAACTGCACAGAAGTTCCTTGAAAGTTTAATAACAACAGGTTGGCTGTCAAATCCTCCTCCTCCACGGAAGATAAATCAGGGCATTCCTAAGTACAAATTCCTTTCTACCTGCCAGGTCCACAGGGGGAGAAAATTTTCCTCTACAGCTTTGAAGGGGCATTAAATTAGAATCGACATAACCCAACTATTTCTTTAAATCATCAACTAAAAGTCATCCTAAAAGAGGTCTAATAAATAATATACTTAAAAGAAATATAATTAAGACAATGAATATAAGAATGTGTCATATCACTGGCTTGGACATTGCAAGAAATAGAGAAAAATTCTAAGGTAGATTTTAGCACTGTCTTTCCTGTTTAAGCCCATCTGGAAGTTTATTCCAAAACAAACAAGTATCTTAAGTACAATCCTTTACGTATGATTTTTCTACTTTCTCTGACATTACAAATGTTATCTGTATAATTCTCCAATACATGTTTGGCATTGTTCCTGTATACTGCAGGAGCAGCATTACTCCTGCACCATTCTCCATTCAAATTGGAACAACATAAATATTATACTAATTTGTTTCTATACCATTTTTCCTAAACTGTTCAGGGCTCTGCTGGTCTTACGCTCATCAATTTCCCACTCAAAATCACATTTACATCTACCTGTCTTCTTCAATGAAGCGTATTCCCCAAACAACTGCCTGTTTAGCTGTTAGGATTTTATGCATCTTCCAATAATTAATTCAATCATTGTCAGATATGTAACAGCCAGTCTTTTTATCTGCAAAGGGCAGAAGCTCTGGCAGGAGAGAAAAGTGGAACCAGCAATACTACATTTCATTCATCCATTCATTCATCCATCCATCCATTCATTCATCCATTCATCCTGGACAGGGAACTAATTTCCTCTCCATGGAATTTTGTGTAATTATGTAAATATTCCTCTCCATGTGGTTTTGGTCACCACATTACAAATAAAAAGTTGAGATACTGGAAAAAATGCAAAGAAGAGCAACTAAGATGATTAAAGGCCTGGAGACAAAAACATGTGAAGAACGGCTGCGGGATTTGGGTATGGCCAGTCTAGAGAAAAGAAGGATCAGGGGTGACATGATAGCAGTCTTCCAGGATTTGAGGGGCTGCCACAAAGAAGAGGGGGGGTCAGCTTATTCTCCAAAATACCCAAATGCAGGACAAGAAACAATGGATGGAAACTAACCAAGGAGAAAAGCACCTGGAACTAAGGAGAAACTTCCTGTCAGTGAGAACAATTTAATCAATAGAACAGAAGTTGCCTTCAGAAGCTGTGGGTGCTCCATCACTGGAGGTTTTTAAGAAGAGGCTGGACAGCCACCTGTCTGAAATGGTATGGGGTCTCCTGCTTGAGCAGGGGCTGGACTAGAAGACCTTCAAGGTTCCTTCCAGTTCTATTCTGATTGATTGATTAATACAGTAGTCTGCACAGGCCTATCAAAAGCTAATAACAGATGAAGCTACAGCAAAAAGAACATCAGAAGACCTGGCGCCAATAGGTGCTTATGGCACCAGAATTCCTTTAGTGGAATATTGCCATAAACACTCTTGAGTCTAGGTTATGCTGGGTAAAATTAGGCACGTGAAACCATCGACCAAAGTTTATTCTGGACAATGCTATCAGCTTTTGAACTGATACTAGTTCTTACTCCCATCAGAATCAATTCCTGAAAGACATTTCCAATTCTGAACCTAGAGATTATTCCCCACCCCTCAGATTTAAAATGAGGTCCTTGTTCTCTACATTCATTCACACACAGGCTTATTTGTTTACCTGGTGTATGTCTTTTCACAAATATCAGGGATTTCTACGGGAGAAAGAAGTGAGAGGTTTTTATAATAAATGGGAGAATGCCCACCCTTCACTTTTTTCTGATTGTTTTTTAGGCATTTATCTTTCTACACTATGCCGACCCCGAATAAGTAAGGCTCTGCAGAGATATTCAGTGATATCACAGAATAATGAAATGTTGTCATTCTATTCAGCTAATGCGAGAATAATCTTGCTTCTCAAAGCAATCTACGCCATTCCGTTATTCTTTAAAATAAATAAGACACCAAGAACTCTAGAATCACAGTGATCAGTTTTGAAACGATCTACATAATCTACATCATTGAGTATAAGTGAGTCTTGATAAACCTTAACATGTTTCGCCCTGCAGCCAAGACAAGCTTGATTTTGAAAGCACTGCACGATAATTGGATCTGAGCGACAAAATTACTGAGAGCAACACACT